TTTTTGGCCTGTAGGGTTTTTACTGATTAAAATCTGAACAATGAAATGTAAGGCAAAAGTCAAAAGAAACTTTTGGATTAATTTAATCTACATTTCAAACAAATCACTTGCTGTCAGGGCTAACTGATGCCCCCTCTGGTCACTGTGACCCTTCTTCTTAGTGAAGTTTAGACATCTAAATTCTTTACATTAAGGAGAGTGGGTGTTAGATGCATAAACACATTCAAGAATCTGGATTTCCGTAAGCTTTGAAATGGGGCCTTTGAAATCAGAATTCTACAGTTCCCCTGAGCCTAAACTGAACTTAATACTATGAACATAATTTCCCTAAAGCAGGTCCAAGTGACTTAAAGACTTGTCCCCTTTGCTTCCCACCTCTATTCCCAAGCTCTTGTATTTGAGCACATCTCAGAGATCCTTACTCTCTCCTATGACATACTTGATATAACAGGAATCAGTAACAGCAGAGAAAGTAAATCTCCTACAGGATCTTGTACTTCAGAAGCTTCACCTCTTTCCTTTTGTTTGCCTTTCTTAGTCTTGTGTGTACTTCTGTACAATTATGCTAATGAACTAAAGACGATTATTACAATAAGGGAACAAACACGAGAGAAGAGGCAGGCAGAAACCTTTCCACCTGTTACAGTAATTTATTTTTTTAACTGAAATCCCAGAAAAAATAATTTTAAGAATTTTTATGTTTGGATGCTAAGGTCATAAAACAGCAAAGAGTGAAAAGCCAGCATTAATTTCTTCAGCTGTCTTGAGAATGGAGTGCAAGAAGATATACAGTTCTCTTTCCATAGAGGGTAGCAAAAAAGCTGAGGCCAACCCTGGGGCAAAGACAGCACAGAACCTCACCAACAAAGCCACCAGCGCAAAGCAGGAGCAGAGGCAGCCTGGTGGCAGCCATGGACTCCACTGTCATCAATAGACAAACCAGGGGACACAGCAAGTTTGAGGCACATGTGGGAATCCAGTAAACAAGTCTGGCCAAGCAGGGGAGAAGACCAGTCACAGTCCCTCCTGGACCATAGCCTTGAGCCTAAAAACTGAGGCTCCTGGATCCTCAGGCAAGGAGTATGCGTGGAAGTCTCAGGTGAGACTGATGCACATAATTAAGCCCTGAAGGTGCTGACTGTGGCAGTGAGGATTAAACAGACACAGATTTCTGAAAGACGACTGACACAGGTTAAGTAGAAAAGAGGTGAAGATATCACTCCTGCAACTATCCACTCTGCTTCTATGGCAGGCTCACCACCCACCCCTGCAGCACTCCCAGCACTTCTCAGCTTGGCACAGCCACAGACACTGGGAGCAACGTGTGTCCTCAGCTACCAGACCAAGAAAATTGTGTGTCCTTGTCTCAGGCAAGACAACCACTGAAGAGGCAGAACAGACATCTAGGAGAGAAGATGTAGCATCTCTACTATCCAGTCTTAATCCTCTATCTCATCTCTGCCAGAGCTACATGGGAACAGCTGCAAGAAGTTCCTGGTGCTCCCAGTGTTTGCAGTCCCTCTCTTGAAGCACCTTCTACCCACACACAGCAGCCTGCAGAGCAGATGGAATATGTGCACCCACTTCAGACACTGCAGCATGAAATCTGGCAACTCAGAGCAAGACACACCTCAAGCTGCTACCCAAGTGGTTACAGTAGCCCCATGAAGGTGTTTTGGACTTTTATTTGACAAGTGCCTAAGACCAAAGAACATTTTAAAATCATAACTTATATTTAATCGGCATGAACTGCTTTTCCATGCCATCACCTCAGTCCAGAATCCTTACTGCAAGAACAAAAAACAGGCCCATGATTTCGCCTGATGTTAATGGCTTCAAACCAGATCCATGGCCCATGCTGCTTTTTACAACACTCCCTTCTTCTATTTTTAAGAGCAATTTGAGAAATAAAAGCTATTTAAAACAAGCAGCATGAAAAGAAGTATCATTTGCTTCACATGATTATTATGTGCATAGCAATGACAGGAAGAATACTGCAAATGTTTTCCAACTCTTAAAAAAAAAAAAAAAAAGAACACTTCCTTTGCAATATATAATTTTGAATTTTAATTTAGATAACTCAGACTATTTACTGGCAACATAAATATCCATATTCATGACATCTGATTTACTATAATCTTTATTTCTGATGTGCTGCATCTGTGAATACTTGAAGTACTTGAGTTTGCATTCATGGGCAATTATATGGGAATGTCATCCAATAGCAACAGATTGATTTACAGTTTAGAGTTCACTGCACCGAAAGACAATTCATTTTCTCTCAGATGGACTGTGGCATGAGACCTAGGATTGATGTTTCCACTCTCATTTTTTTTACAAATTACTGTTTCTTGTCTAATAGACACTCAAATCAAGGGCATAATAATGAGTCTCAAACAAGTGCCTTTTAGATGCACTCTCTCAAGCAGTAGTTTGCAAAGGTTTGAGGAAGGAAAGGAAATGGACAGCAAGTAGAAACTTAGATTTTATGCAAGTGTTTTAGAGGGAAAAGAGGCAGAGGCATGGTATTAGGTCATTTCACGTTCACACCCAAGGACTTCCTCATGCTGACTTCCACTGAGGCTTCCTGAAATCCAAGCTCTTGCTATGAAAAACACATTTTTCTTAAAAATCTCTTCATGTTGAACTGTATTTCCTTCTAGTCTTGCCTGCTGGAAGTTTTTCTGATGTATGAAGATTCTTCCAATAAAACAAATTTTAATTTCCACAGGTAAGTGATAGGAAGAATTAAACCCACAATAAATCCCCAGTAAATACAAAAGAAGAAAGTAGTACGAATATGGCTTTTGATGTGTATATTGAGTAAATAAGGTGATAAAGCATGAAACACTCCCCCTTTTATCGTCCTTCAAATGAAGGAGCACAACTGCAGGGGCTTCCCAGAGACCTGCCATCAGCAAGATGTGTACATGTTCAATAACTCTATCTGACTAATAATCTGACTAATCTAGACTGTATCTAACTATAGTCCAGAGCTATATATCACTTAATGTATTAGTGACATACTAACATATATATCCTTTGAAGAGGGAAAAGATCAAATACAGTTAAAAGGTCTGCCATACTAAAAACCTTGCTTTCCAGTAAAGGCCAGTTCACTCCTCAAAAGAATTTTAAGCCTTTCAAGCAGCTCACAGTAACCTTCATAAAATACCTTGAAAATTTTAGGCTTTAGTAGAAATAACACCTGTTATAAATGAAATTAGAATTTTGACAACTAGGTCCCTTGGGTTAATGTCAGTTTAATTAAAAATGAATACAATTTAGTAAATTGAATAGTAATTTGGTATAAAAGAATACAGTTCAGTAAAATAATATAATTTAGAAAAAAAATAACAATTTATATATATAATCTGCCAGTAATTAAGTATGATTAGAGCATAAGCAAAACCGACTGGGGTATGGGGAGGGCTTATCACCCCACCTCACATACAATATTGACCAGGGTACGGAGGCTTCCCACCCTGCCTCACGTACAAAACAAAGCACTTCAAACTAAACTTATATACTGTATGCTTATACATACTCATTAATGTTTCCCATAAGTTTCCTCCTATTTCCAATTTTTCTGACTTTACATCACTTTTCTTCACGGCGCATGCCTCACTTGTTGTTAGGGGGTCTTCAGCCTTCCTTTGGTGGTCTTTTGGTGAAGACTTCTCCTTGTCCTCGTTGTCCTCTGGATAACCTTACAGGTTTGCAAATGTGTACTAAGCGTTGTGTTATATAAGTCTACTAATTAGTCTTGTATTTACTGATGTTTAGGCTCAATGCCTAAAGTCGTTCTAATTTTGTCCATCTCGAGGCCATTTGCATCTTGGGACATCACTTATCTTCCAAACTGCATCCTGTACCTCAATTTTAACATGTAACATCTGTAAAGGGGTGCATCTGCCTTGTAACACCGATTCTTTTGATTGCTTCTAATAATAACTTTCCAAATAGTTACAATTTAGTTAGCATGAATCAATTTACTACAATGCCTCAACAGTTTTAAGAAAAAACTTAAGTACTTTGAACCCATTTGAAATTCCATCGTAATGGTCTACAAAATGGATTCTTCAGCCATTGTTCAGTGTTTTTAAGGGACTGGTACTTTGGATAAAGTAGCAGATAATGGAACATTTATTAAATAAATAAAAAAATGCCTTGAGCCTCAAGCATGCCCAAAACAAAAGCGCTTGGCAGTATGCAATTCCTTTTACTTGCTAGAATCTGTTCAGGAATGGAGTATTTTCAGCTCCTGGAACAGTTTTCAATGCTGGTTTGAGTGTTGGATGTGTCATAGAATGTTTTTCTCTGCACTCCCGGGCTATGTTTGGATGAAGTTATTTCTGTTGCACATCCTGGCCAGAATAAAGCAACGCCTTGATTCTCTAACACTACAAGTGTTATTGAAGGATTTCTATTTTTCCTGCAGTTTTGGTGACAATCTCAACTTCCAAGAATGTACCAAAATATGTCCATGTGGCTGGAAAGCATTAAAGACATGAACCCTTTAATGCCTTGTAGCTGAGAGGTTTCAGCCGTGCTAGAGGTGAGAGAAGTAAAGCACCGAACCCCGCCAGCCTTCAGCCCTGGGAGACAGCACCTGCCCTGGCCTGGAAACCCAGGAGCCATCGCAAGGGTTTAGAAGCCATTTATGCTTTAAAAGCCATTTGTACCAGGGCTGAGCGCACGCTCGGGGAGCTCCCAGCACTACAAAGACGGAGACTGTTACAGGGGGCGGGAGCAGCGGGGCCGGGCCTTACGGGGGAGTGCGGGGCTCGGCCTCGGGCCAGACGGCGGCAGGGCCGGGCCGATCCCTCACGTGCCCGTCCCTCACGTGCCCGTCCCTCACGCGCCGCCGCTCCGGCCGAGGGCCAATGGGAGCGGGGCGCGCGCCCGCCTCAGGCGCAGGCGGGTTGGCGGGGGCGGGACCCGGCGCGGCGGGGCCGCCAGAGGGCGCCAGTGCCCGGGCGGGGCGGGGGCGGCGGCTCGCGGGCTCGGGGTGCGAGCCGGTGCCGCGGGGCCGGACTGTACCCGGCCCCGCTCCGGACACTCCGGGCCCGCCCGGCCCCTCACCTCCTGGGCAGGGAGCGCCGCCGCACAGAGAAGGTAAGGGCGCTCGGCTGGCTCCCGTCCCGCCGCGCGGGACGTTTGGGTTGCACGTTTGGGTTCCCCGTGCCGTGTCCGCTCCTTTCCCTCCTGTCCCTGCCATGGGGTGGGCGTTGTCCCTCTGTCCCGCCATCCCCCGGCGGAGCGCGCAGGTGCTCGTCCGCCGGCAGAGCCCCGCGGCGGCGAGGGGCAGGCCCGGGCATGTCCCGGGAGGCGCTGCCGGCGCGGCCCCGCCGTGTCCCGCACACTCCTGGGCTGCGGGCCCGGGGTGCTCCGTGTGTGCCTGGGCTGCTGGTGCTGCTGCGCCTCGGCCCTAGAGTTTGTGAGGGTTTTGGTGAGTTGGCCGCATTTTAGCTGTTTGATTGGCTGGCGTTGTTTGTCGCGGCAGATGATCGATACCCTGGCGAGCGGCGAGGCTCGGGACCTGCTGCTGCAACTCCCCGCAGTGCTGGAGCAGGAGCTGCGGGCTCAGCCCCGGGCCGCCGGCCTCAGGCTGCTCGAGGCTGCCCACGACAATGGCCTGAGAATGACCGCACGGCTGCGAGACTTCGAAGTGAAAGATCTCCTCAGCTTAACTCAGTTCTTTGGCTTCCACACTGAGACGTTCTCACTAGCTGTGAATTTCTTAGATAGATTCTTGTCGAAAATGAAGGTAAGGGTTTTTAAAGTATAAGCTCTCAGCTTAGTTCCTAGTCAACGCTAGAATTAGAATGTCTTGGGTTTAGATAAAAGGTTAAGCTCCTTCCAGAGATTCTTGATTGAGTGGAGCTAAAAAACTTTGGTATTGTTAAAAAACGTGTTACCTCTGGAGAAGGAAAAACTGGAGGATGCCCATGGACTAGGAAACCAGGACCAGGATGTGTTAATGGCTCAGACCAGGACAGACTGCCTGTCCTGTTGCATAGATACAAGAACATCTGACATTACTTCTTATTTAACTGCCTTTTCAACCAGTCAATAAGCCTTGTATATATCAAGATGCTGTTGAACACTTAAAATCTGGTCAGTCATTAGTTAGCACTGCATTCTCCTGTGCAGATGTGATATGCTGACCTGGGTTGTTTTTAATTGTCTAACAAGACAGGATTACCATTGTACAATTTGGACAAGAACAAAAGCTTGTTTTCTTTGTGTGTTCAAACAAAAATGAGAAAGCTAGATGGAATAGATGGGAAAATTATGATTTCAAAGACCTCTGAATCCAGAATAAGTAGTAAAAATTGGGACTGCATTGTCTATGGAATAAAATAAGACTGTATGTACGTATATACACGTGTATATATACTTAAAATACAGTTAGAAACTCCCAATTTTTTACTGTCACCCAATATGCACAACACTTTAAGTCCTAAAAGCTTCCTATTAGGCTATTTTAGAAACTTATTAACAGGCCAGTTCTACTTTAATCAAATTTGTCCTGCAGTCTTGCTTTTTAGATGAATGAGAAGCAATTTAAAGTGCGTAACTGATGTACGATAAAGACTTGGTTTTCAATCTCCAAAAAACAAAACAACCCCTTGTCCCCCATAATTTTTTGATTAAATAGATCTGTGCCTACAGTTTGATACTTGCATGTTATAATAGCTGATCAGAGGCCTTCTTTGAAAATAATATTTCACTTTTCTTTAGGTACAGCCTAAACACTTGGGTTGTGTTGGACTCAGCTGCTTCTACTTGGCTGTGAAGGCATCAGAAGAAGAGAGAAATGTGCCCTTTGCCACTGACCTAATTCGAATAAGCCAGTATAGGTTCACTGTTTCTGATATGATGAGAATGGAGAAAATCATATTGGAGAAATTGTGTTGGAAAGTCAAAGCTATTACAGCCTTCCAGTTTCTACAGCTCTATCATTCATTCATTCATGAGAATTTAAGCTGTGAAAGGTACAATAGCTAATCCCGATTTTGCTATAACTATCTATGACCAGAGAATATAGAATGTAGAAAAATAAGCAGGGAAATTGCTTGAGTAATTTGCCTTTCTGTACTTGAAAAATCCCACAAACTTTCCCCCTTACTGGTAATTGTCATAAATGTGAGCATCTGCGGTTTAATGTTACTGTAATTTTAAATATTGTTTGCATAAATGGAATATTGCTCTCTGAGCTGGAAACCAAACTTGCTCAATAATGATGGTATAATAAATCTCTGCTTATGCTGCAGCAAAGTATTGCTTCATTGTAAATATTGCAAAATCTGGTTTAAAAAAGATTCCTTTTGCTAGTAAGCATTGAAATTCCTTGTTAAGCCTGTGTTGATAATGCAGCTCTTCCCCAGTGTAACACAAGATTTATTTATGGCATTGGGACTGCCAAAACTGAGCACCTGTTTCAATGTAACCCCAGAAGTTCTGGGACAAATGAGGCCTTTGTTTAGATAACGAACATTCTTGCTGCTTCTCTGAGTTCCCAAAGCGATGCTGCCTTGATCAAGCTTGCATTCATCTAGATTTACTCATCTGTTTTTATTACAGGAGAATTAATTTTGAGAGACTTGAGACACAGCTTAAGGCCTGTCATTGCAGAATCGTGTTTTCTAAAGCCAAGGTAAAAATCTTGAAAGTTCAAAGAAAATTAACCTGCTGAAACTTAACGAAGTAGTGTTTAAAAACATCTTCTCTCTCTCCAGCCTTCGGTGTTGGCACTGTCTATTATAGCACTAGAAATAGAAGAACAAAAATTGCTGGAGTTGACGGAGACATTGGAATTTCTGCAGTTACATTCCAAGGTATATGCAGATAAAATTTCAGGGAAGGGTGGAAAAAAAATGCATGGAAAGGTCTACACAGTGGGGAAGGGACAGGTGCATTGGCATATTGGTTTCTTTTGTGGATTTCTTGTGAGGTTTTGTTGTTTTTCATTTGGTCTGGGATATTTGGCTGCCTATCATGTTGGAGAAGCTGAAAGTATATGTACAAAGTAAAGATTTAACTAGTTATTAACATAGGACATTCTGTCTTGTTATGTAGATAAGCAACAGAGAATTGACCTTCTGGAAGGAGCTAGTGCTTAAGTGCCTTATGGAATATTCCTCAAGCAAATGTTCCAAGCCAAATGTGCAGAAATTAAAATGGATTGTGTCTGGACGTACAGCTCGGCAGCTTAAACATAGCTACTACAGAATAACACACCTTCCTACCATTCCAGAGACCACCTCATAATGGGTAAGTCCTTTTAAAATCAACTTCTGACATTGTAAAATCAACTTCTGATGATGTAGAAGTAAAATTAGCTGTTAATTACCTCCAGCGTCCTTATAGGTTACCTTCTGGTATCATGGAGAAATAACTGATGGCTGTTTTGGTAGCAGAAATGTTCTACAGACATTGGGACCGCATTCACACTAAAATGTGGAGTAAAGCTTGGAAAAGGGGAAAAAAAACCTTTGCCTTGCTTCTATCCCGAAAAGAAAACCAGCTTGTTAGAATAAGTTTTTTGCAATTGTTCACTTAAGCCACTTACAAGTAAGACAGTTTATACAGTTTTACTTGTATAACTGCTTAGTGAAGGCTAAAACCTGTAATGCAGTTACTGCTGTTACTGTTGTTTTACTCTGTAAAAATGGTGAACTTCTTCTTTACCTAGACTTTACTTCCAAGAGGCTACACATTTTTCTGTAACAGCCATCTTGCTGTTGTCTGGGTGAATTAAGATCTCATGCTTTGTTTGGCTCTTGAAGAAAGCACTTCTGTTGACTGGTTTGTTTGGGTTTTTTTATAGGAGTACAATAAAATGAAAAAACCATCCTGTGACCTTGTCAACAGGCACATGAATATTTGAGAAACAGTCTGAACCGTGATCTTAATAATGAAGAACTCGACTCATGGAAAGAATATGTAACATTTCAGACTAAAGGTCCTTCCAGCAAATACCAGTTCTTTTCATGATGAAGTCAACAGGAGTTTGTTTTCAGTCTTACTTGGTAGACTGTTTACTAGTCGGTGAAATAACACAATCCCAATACAAGGAACTTTAACACCTTGTAGTTTGTAGAGCAGCTTGTGTAATCTAACCTTGGTTTACAGTAATTGCAGGTGCTTAATTAGGTATTCATTTTTAAACCCTGGTTCACTTTCTGAGGATTATGCAATACTAGGAAAATCTGATGTGCAGTGCTGCAATGGATTAAGAAAAGAAAGACTAATCCCATTCAATATTGACGACAACAGAAATGACTGTCAGCTCACCTGGTGTGCTGTTTGGGCAGTGCCTTGTCCACATGTTCTTGCCAGGATGGGCACTGGCCTCCTACTACAAACACATTAAACATTAGCCTAGGTGATAGCCACTGAACATGTTGAGTAGGTAGAGCAGGAGAAAAGAGAAACTTCACTGTGCTTCTCTAGGAAAGACAGTCACTAGCACAGCATCAGTAACTGCAGTACTTGGTAAGAGCTGTAGTTTACCAATGCCACGAGTTATCTCATTGAGTGTAGAAGCTTGGTGATAGCTAATGAAGACTAAGAAAAATAACTGGGTCACATGTAACCCTTTCATGCCCTAAATCTGACATAAGATTTCCAGAATTTTGCTGTACTAGAGGTAAATGCTGATGCTGAACAGGCACATTTTTAGAGTCGGAGCAGGGCTAGTTCCCCATCTTGGCATGTGTGTAGGAGCAATCCAGTCGAGAAACATTGAAGATTTCTTCAACTCTGATCTCTTTGAGCTCTGTAAAACACAACTGTTCTGAAGACCAGGTCAGTATTTGAGGCATTCATGCTTCTAGTGCTAACAAGGAAGTGAATAATAAGAATGTATTATTGTATGTTAGATGAAAAGAGGTTCTGGGAGAGTGTTGCTAATGTCCTCTTGAATTCTGCGTCACTGTGGGACAGAGGCTGTTTGCAACAGGCTGTTAAACCTGATTGTCATATGAACTGATGGAGTGGAGAAGGAGAGATCAAGAGTGTGGGATGAGGTATTAGCCAGCCAACCCTTCCCTGTAATGGTACCAGCTGAGGTGGAAACTATTCTTTGCATATCTCAGACTAGTTAAAGCTTTCACAGAAGACTCCATACCAAAGCTCTCTACTGGACAAATCAAGTCTTCTCATGAGCTCATGAGAGTGATTGCACTGCAAAACGTGTAACTGGGTATCACACCTGTCAGTGCTGCCTGGGCATTGTGCTGGCCTGTGCAAAGTGATTCAAAGGTGTGGTCAGCCTGCTGGGAGAGGATGAAATGTGCAATTCTAATTGTCCTGTCTCAAGATAAGTACCTTTAAATTAAACATTGAAATGTGCTTAACTAAGTAGCTTTTTTCTTGTTCATTATGAAATGTCTTAGTAGGAAGCCTATAAATGTGACTTATAACTGAACATTACCTAGAAAAAATTTCCAGGCAAGAAGGTAAGACATAATGAAGATTTTTTTTTTCACAATTTAGTTTTATAAGATATAGAGGCTGCATGGGAACAGTTAGACAATGACATGAGTAAATGGTAAATATCTCATAATATCTGTTCCTCAGTAGTGAATCACAGAATGGGTCAGGTTGGAAGGGACCATGGGTGTGATCACCTGGTCCCATCTCCTTCCTCAAGCAGGGTTATCCCAGAGCACATGACACTGGATTTCATCCAGATATTTCTTGATTAACCCCAATAAGACAGACTCCATATCATCTCAGGGAAACCTGTTCTGTGCACAGTCACTGCACAGGAAAGAACTTCTTCCTCCTGTCCAGGTAGAACTTCCTGGGCACCTGTTTCACAGAATGACGAGGTTGGAAGAGACCTCCAAGATACTAAGTTCAACCTGTGCCCTAACCCCACAACTAAACTGTGGCAGCGAGTGCCACATCCAGTCTTTTTTTAAACACATCCAGGGATGGTGACTCCACCACCTCCCCCAGCAGACAATTCCAGTACTTTATCACCCTTTCTGTAAAATACGTTGGCACAGCTTGAGACTGTCCTCTCGTTCTGTCAGTTGCTGCCTGGAGAAAGACCGACCCCCACCTGCCCACAGCCACCTTTCAGGAGGTTGTAGAGAGTGATAAGGTCACCTCTGAGTCTCCTTTTCTCCAGGCTAAACAACCCCAGCTCCCTCAGCCGTTCCTCACAGGGTTTGTGTTCTCAGCCCCTCACCAGCCTCGTTGCCTCCTCTGGACACTCTCAAGAGTCTCAAGGTCCTTCCTAAACTGAGGGGCCAGAACTGGACACAGAATTCAAGGTGTGGCCTCCCCAGTGCTGAGTACAGGGGCAGAATGACCTCCCTGCTCCTCTGGCCACACCATTCCTGATCCAGGCCAGGGGCCATTGGCATTCTTTGCCATCAGGGCACAGGGCTGGCTCATATTCAGCTGCTGTCACCAGCACCCCCAGGTCCCTTTCTGCCTGGGCACTGCCCAGCCACACCATCCCCAGCCTATGGCATTGCAGGGGGTTATTGTGGCCAAAATGCAGGACTTGGCACTTGGACCTATTAAACTTCATCCCACTGGACTCGGCCCATCCATCCAACTGTTCCAGGTCTCTCTGCAGAGCCCTCCTCCCTTCCAACAGATCGACACACGCTCCCAGCTTAGCGTCATCTGCACATTTACTAATGAAGGACTCAATACCCTCATCCATGTCATCAGTAAAAATATTGAACAGACCTGGCCCCAGCACAGACCCCTGAGGGACACCACTGGTCACTGGTCCCCAGCTGGATGCAGAACCGTTCACCACCACTCTCTGGGCCCAGCCTCCAGCCAGTTCCTAACCCAGCACAGAGTGCTCCTGTCCAAGCCGTGGGCTGCAGCTTTTCCAGGAGTGTGCTGTGGGAGGCACTGTCAAAGGCCTTGCTGAAGTCCAAACAGACAACATCCACAGCCTTTCCTGCATCCACCAGGCAGGTCACCTGGTCATAAAAGGAGACCAGGTTGGTCAAACATGACCTACCCCTCCTAAACCCATGGGTGGCTAGGTCTGATACCCTGGCCATCCTGCACATGCTGCACGATGACACTCAGTATAAACAGCTCCATTACCGCACCAGGTACTGAGGTCAGGCTGAGGTCAGGATCCTCCTTCCCACCCTTTTTGTGAATGGGCATCACATTGGCCAGTTTCCAGTCATCTGGAACCTCACCAGTGAGCCAGGACTGTTGGTAAATGATGGAGAGTGGCTTTACAAGCTCATCTGCCAGCTCCCTCATCACCCTGGGATGGATCCCACCTGGTCCCATTTATGAATTTATGAATATCCAAGTGTCTCAGCAGTTCTCTGACTGCCTCCTCCTGGATAACATGGGGACCATTCTGCCCCCTGACACCATCTACCAACCCAGGAGGACAGTTGTCCTGAGCACAAGCCATCTTTCCACTAAAGACTGAGGCAAAGAAGGCATTAGGCACTTCCGTCTTCTCATCCGCAGTTACTAAGTTCCCTTCCTCATCCAATAGAGAACAAAGGTTGTTTGGTTTGTGCCCATTACCTCTTGTCCTGTTGCTGGGCTCCATGGAGCAGAGTGGTCCCTGTTCTGAGCCCTCCCTGCAGACAGGGAAGAGGTCCCCTCTTAGCTGCCTCTCCTCTGGAGGCTGAAAAGCCACAGCTCCAAAGCCTTTCCTGAGCTTCCAGAGCCTCCACATCCTCTGGTGAAATTGCTCCAGGAGATCCATTTCCCTCCGGTCTTGAGCAGCCCCACTGGACACAGCACTACAGATCTGGCCTCACCAAGGCTGAGCAGAGGGGCAGGATCACTTCCCTGGCAATGTTCTTCCTGATTCAGCCCAGGATATAATTTGCCTTCTTGTCCCCCAGGGCACTGCTGGCTCAAGGACAGCTCATTGTCCACCAGGACCCCAAGGTCCTTCTCCACAAAGCTACTCTCTAGCAGGTCAGCCCCAGCCTGGTACATGGGGAGATCTCCCAGTGTAGATAAGGAAGAAAAAGAATATATCCTTGCATAAAGACAAGTGGTAGATTTATAACTGATTCATTTACTGTGGTGTTTCTAAAAAGAAAAAAAACACCCAAACCAAACATTCTGCTTAAAGACCTCACTTTTTTATGTACACCTTGCTCTATATTTTATGTCTTAGTGTCATAAAGTTATGACAGCTTATAAATCAGCTGGTAACATTTTGTCTTCATTCTGCTGGAAAAGATCTTTCTTCTCTTCACTGAAGTAATTACTTTTGACAACAATCCATTAAAGAGATCACTGAAGTCTTCAACAGTTACATGATTTCAGTCCTTAACTGTAACATGTAAATTGTCTAAAGGATCACATATAAAAAGTTCACTTTTCAAGACTAGAAAAGTCTGGTCCTCCTTTGCTGTAGTTTCCAGAAATTTCTGCCCCACTGAAGTCAAATCCAGGGTTCTGATGGAAGTAAAATTAAAAATTGTTTAGTAAGTAAATTATTTAGAATAAAAATGCTTTAAAAAATCCCAGGCAACCCACAAACAAAACCCCTAAATTGCTTTTTGTTAATATTCTGCCATTGTAACAAGAACATATAACAATCATCTTGTCATAGATTTATCACAGCACTGAAATTCCTGGAAAATGCATCAACAAACTCTGAATTGTCACAGTTTGGTTGCCTACTTCTGAAGTAACTTTGTAATGCTGTTCTTGACTTAGCAAGTAGTCAGACCTCCCAGAAAATAAATTACGGAAAGTTTAAAAAAGAGATCTGGCTCTTGGTGTCCTTTGAAACTGCCTTTTGAAATCTAAGTACATGCCCTGATGGATAACAAGGTTCATAAAACTGCTGTTCACTGCTGCAGTACATAGCCTGCTGATTCATCTGGTATGTAAAGTGCTGTAATTGTACAGCTCTGCAGACATGTACAGGAATAGCTGTGTGCCAATTTAGGCAATTTTAGTAAAAGTGCAAGGAACATCTTTTCCAGCTGATTATTCCACTCCATCTTACATTATAAACAAACATATCCAGTAGAGTTTGATGTTCCAATTTTATTGTAAATATAGCTATGTCATAATTCTAGATAATAACAGAAGTTGTGTATAGCCTAACAAGTGAAAAGTTTTTAGGAAGATGCAATTAGTAAAACGGCACTAGCACCTCCAAACTCACCTGAACTTGTCACAAACCCTGCAGAGAGAGTGCAGACAGAATAATTTCTTCAAAGCACAGTGATAAAACCTTGTAAGCATTTTATAGATACTGAACTAAAGCATATATTTCCATGGCATTTGCTCAGTTTTTCTGGCCATAACCTCTGTGTGCTAACAAAAAACATAAGAAGTAATTATGGTCCTTTAACTTACTTCTCTTTGGAATCGCTCTAGTGTAAGTTTCCTTTGCATCTGGTCCTGTACCCAAGGATCAGCAGCATATTCATTTTCTAACAGAGATGTCCAACAGTTTCCAGCATCTCTATTTGTCTTCATTAGAACAATTCGTATCAGCTGCCTGTCTTCTGTTGAATGAAAACACAGAGCAACCTTTAAACTCACTCCTACGTGCTGGTTCTTGGTTTGGTGAATTCACCATTAACAAGCCCAAGACATGAAGTAATTTAAATTCTTAATGCAAATGCCATCCTAGTTCTTGATGAATAAATAAACATTAACAAGAAAAAAAAAAGGCTGAAGCAAAGATAGCCTGTACTGTCATCTCTCCCCTTTTGGCCTGTAAGATGCTGAAGCTGTTTTAAAGGATTAAACACAGTTCATACTTCTATTGCAAAATAACCTCTTGGAGATGCTCACAACAAAGTTGTAATCTATTTATATAGACAACTCTGCTAAGGAAATAATGAAAAAACTTGAGGTCAGGCTTTACAGAGAGTTATTATCAACAAAAGCCAGAACTAAGTTTTAGCAACAAACGAACAGATGATTATTTAAACAGTGTGTATTGCCATAGAGAATATATCAGAAGCATGTTTCAAAGTAAATGTGCAGGGCATTTAGTTCTACTGAAGTTACTAAATACAGCATTAGAAGTGTATTTTGAAGACTATTTGTAGACTGAAAAAGGGCTTTGCTTTACAATATGTATTAAAACTTTTAATTTTAATGCTTAAATTACTAAATTATCAATAAATATTTAAAATAAATATTGAATGGAAAAGAAATTCCTTCACAGGAAAACACTGAGAGGCACAGTCCACAAATATGATTGCTAAACCCCAAAATAGTCTGAACACTTTACAATATTTATGCTTTTTTTTTCCCTCATTATATGTAGGAACCTTAGTGTGCTTTTTAAATTTCTTTCTGATTCTCTTGGACTGTAGATTTTGTTACTCATTCAAAAAATGTAATGCATAAAAAGTAATAATTATGGAGAGTCATAGACCACACAATTGTACCATAACTGTTTACCTTTAAAAGAAGGTTTGCAAAAAACTTCTGTGTGGAAATGTTTGTAACCCATTGATTACGACCTTCCAGGATGTGGCATTTTCTCATTAACCTTAGCCTCAAGTGCTTTTGTAATACCTCAGTTCCTTAATCCAGCAATAGTGACTGCCTTTTTACAAAGCTATGGCAAGAATGTAATCGTTCCCATTAATAAAAGAGGGGGTAAACTATTCTGCAGTGTCTACTGAAAAGTTTTACTGCTTTTATAATGTCACTTCAGATATAGGTTATTACCTAAGGTCCACGTTCCTTCATCAGTTACTGTAGAGTCAAAAAGTTTACCCTGAAAAAGACAGGTACAATATTATAAATCAGTAAAACCTCTTCAGTACCTAGTTCACATTGAGTTATAGTTTTATTCACAATTTAACCACTTTGTATTCTGCTGCAAATGAACAGAGTGATCTGCCCCTACAAGTATATGCTTGTATGTAGCTTGTCAAAGAATTATTACTTGTTATGGAATTATTTTTTTTTAATTGAAGCATTTAATACCTTAATTGTTTCAGTATCTGAAGTCATTGAAAATGCTTGTATTTTTCAGCAGGTAATGCCGTTTTTAAGAATCTTGTCATGAAAATGCAGGTGTTTTTGCCAGGAGTAATATCTAGCTCTGATGCAGGGTACAGGCAGTATGAGCACTTCATTGTAAATGTGAAAGCAAATCTGGTTTTAAGCTGTTTTTTTTGGGGTTTTGTGGGGTTTTTTTGTTTTGTTTTGGGTTTTTTTTTGCTTTCTGGAGCAATTGAAACTGTGCACTGAACTGCTGTCCATATTAAAATCCATGTGAATTTATATCTCTGTTTCTCACAGAATCACCGAATTACCTGGATTGGAAGGGACCTTAAAATTAATCTCATTCCAGCTCCCTGCCATGGGCCAGGACACCTTCCAATATCCCAGTTTGCTCCAAGCTCTATCCAACCTGGCCTTGAACAGTTCCAGGGATGGAGCATCCACAGCTCCTCTGGGCAACGTGCACCAGGGCCTCTCCACCCTCACAGGGAAGAATTTCTTCCTAATATCCCATATAACACTGTTTTCTGACAGTTTAAAGCTCTTCCTTCTTGTCCCATCACTACATGGCCTTGTAAGAAGCCCCTCTCCAGCTCTCTTTTCATGTACTGGAGAACAGGCATCAACTGTAAAACCTCGTGCAGGTGAACAAAACTGTTCCCAATGAATGTAATTTTTACTGTACCAAACCTGGGACAAAGAACAGAGAGGCACCAAAGGGCACAGATGTGCAAACCTTCTCCCAGGCGGCTAATTACAGCACATGAGGACACAGTCAAAGCTGTGCCAGGGCAGGTCTGGGTTGGACATCAGGAAGAAATTTCACAGAAAGTGTGACTAGACATTGGATCGGGCTGCCCCGAGAGGTGAAGGAATTACAGTCCCTGGAGGTGTTTAAGGAAAGCCCGCGGTCGGCTGACACACTGGTCGGTCGTAGGCTGGACTCGACGGTTTCAGAGGTATTTTATAACCGAACCAAGCCCGTGACCCCCCAGCGCCCTGCGGCCTCCGCGTGGGGCGCGGCCGCCGGCCCGTTTCCCCCGGGCTGCCCGCGGTACCTGCAGCAGCTCCTGCCCGCACACGGCCAGGGAGATGTGCCGGCTCCGCAGGCTGCAGCGCACGTCCTTGGCGCGGGTGCCCGGCGGGACGCGCACCTCGATGAACACCTCCTCCAGCGTCTGGTACCAGCGGCCCCACGGCGTCCCGCAGGGTACCACCCCGCTGCGCTCCTCGAACGGAGCCGACATGGGACACGGCGGCAGCGCTCGACGATCCGCGCAGAGCGAGTCGAGTCCCGCGCAGAGCGAATCCCGCACCACCCCTCGACCCCAGCCCCGCTCCCCGCCCCGGCCCGCCGGGAGCGCCCGGCCCGCGCATGCGCACCGCCAGCCACGCCCCCGCCCGGCCCGCAGCGCGCGTGCTCCTCGCTGTGCTCGCTGATTGGCCGAGGCGGGAGGGGCGGCCGCAGCTGATTGGCTGGGCGGTGCGCGCTGCGGCCGTTGGCCCCTTTGAACGCCGGGCCGCGGGGTCCCAGTGCCGTCATGGCGTCTGTGCGCGCGCCGCCCCGCCGCCACCTCCACCGCGATGGGAGCGCTGGTACGTGAGGAGAGGGGACGGAGGGAGCGGGGACGAGCCCTTCGGCGGTGCCCGAGAGGCCGGGACCGGCCTCAGTGTGTCCCTTACTGTGAGGAGCAGCCAGTAGGGCGATGCTTGAGGACCCTCTGAGTTCTGGCAGGGGTCCCCTTCTAAGGTAGAAGGTCCCGGCTTCGTGTCTAGCTCTGGTATGCAAAACACGGTAGTGAACGTGTATTATGTATGCAGTAACTAAAGTGGTGCCAAGCCTTCCTTGTCTCTGGTTCCATAGTACAGCGCTGTAAGAGGAATGTACGAGCTTCCCATGGCTGAGGCAGTGCTAGAGAGAGGGTTTTATGATGTACGAGTCTCTCACAGTGAGATTTTGGCTGTAGATTTACCCTATATGTGTTATCAGCCTCTACTCATCGAAGCTGAAAACCCTGTCATTTACCTTCATTGTTCTTTGCTGTTCTGAAAAATCTCATTTCTAGCACGTACCTCCCTGCAAGGATCCCGTAATGTAAAGTCATCAGATGGAGTGGGAAGTTTGCTGTCTTCTGAAGCATGCCAAGGGATTAGGAAACAGAAGAGTAAGTAAAAATTGCATAGAACACAATGATAAGATATCTTTAGGTGCTACAGTTGTTAACTGCTGTTACTGCTCTGCTGTTCAGAAATTGGTTTTTGTTGCAAAGACTCACTGCCTACCTTCCAGCTCAGATTAGCAGCTGTAAAAGCACCTATTAGAATATTCCAAAAACAGCTTTATATGTGACTTCTGCTAACTAGGGGGACCTCCGGAGGTGTAATAAACTACTTATTAGCCTAGGGTTAGAGATATTTTCATGCATTTTTAATATCTAAAGCATTCCTCAGTTGAAAACTGGCATTGTGGATCTGGATCATGGCAGGGAAACTTGGCAGAAGTGGAAATACCAAAGCTGTCTGTCACCTGGTAGTCTCTCTCTAAACTTTGTCAAGTGCCCAGATGGCTAATATCGAACTGGCTGATTGCAGTAAAAAACGTAAAGCTGGTATTGGGTTGTGAAGTTGATAATCTAACAACCAGGTGGAATAAATTAACCTTGTAGTTTGGTTACATTTGCCTCCCTATATGCATGCCTCTTCCTTCACCGTTCTCTTCTACATCCTTCTATAGGTGAGATAAATCTGAGCAGTGAAAAGAGTGCACCCACCCCAGTAACTGCAAGGAGACTCGCATCTCTTGGATCAACAGTAAGGCTCTGCTGTGGTGTCTGTAGCACTGTTAAATCCCAACTAAATCTCTCTGTCTGCTTGAACAATTCATCCTTTTCATTCATTTGTCATTGATCTACCCAAGTGAACAATGAAACATGTTGTGTCTGTGTTCCTTAAGACCTAAGCAGGAAAAATGAAATTGCTGCATCCTTGGGAATCATGTGGTAATTAACTTGGCACTAGAGAGCAGCTTGTTATATTTGGTGCTACACTCTTGTTTTCTCTTTTCCTCTTGCTCACCATGTAATTATGGTGTGACTCCTTTTCAAGGAGATGGTGTTTTGATTCCTGCTCTCATGGGCTGGATAATGCAGAGTGGAAACCCAGTGGTGAAAGAAAGAGGGAGGCATGATACTGCATGTACAAGTTCTCTATGTCCTGTACAAGGATATGGATTTCAAGATTAATAGCTTAACAAGTTGAAAAATTATAGCCCTAATGTACTAATTAGGTTCATTAGTATTGATGATGTAGGATGAAATTCTGCAAACAAACCTGAGGTGAAGGTATAAAAATGTTTTTATAAAGTTTAGGGGTGCTAAAGTCTCCAACTTTGTTAATGTTCTTCCTGTCCCTATGTTTATGGGCTGTCCCTTCAAAGTAATGCTGATGAGAAAGTAGAAGGGTAAACCCCGTCCTAACCTAACAGTTTTCTGTCCTGTCTGGGAGAGACAGGTTTACCCTTTATTTGCTGTGTATCTTTGTTGTATTGTCTATGTGAAGCACCCACTCTTGTATTTAATTGTGTTCAGCTACTATGAAGGTAGAGATTTCTAACACATTTCTCTTTCAAAGCCGGCTAATGGGATTGCGAAGACTAAAAAAGATCTTATGCTTATGAAAGAGAAAAAGAAACAGAAGGCACTGGAGAAGGAGGTATGAATCCATTATGTCAATGAAATCCTGTCATGTTTCCCACTTAAAATAATAAAAAATACAAGCTGGTAGAATTGGCCTCTTTTGCATCACACAGCATACAAGTAGTTTATAAACTGCTCTGTGCAAAAGAAAGATTATCAGATATTTTTGTTGTACAAAGCTAATGGAATTGCATTAATTCCTGCTGATTATGAACAACTATTCTCAGTCTTTTCAAAAACAGAATTAAGTCCTCTGTTGGCTACCCCAAAAAGGCTCTGTTTTGTTGAGCAGTTTCTTGCTGAAATTTTTTGCTCACTGTCATACTTTCAATACTTAAGAAACACCCTAAACTGTATCAGTACGCTTCTGTGTGCTAATTAATGCCTTGTGTCTCAAATGTCATGTTCTGCCTTTTTGTCTGTCACAGCCAAAAAGGAGACTTGGCTTTTGTTGCCCATTAAAGCTAAGACTATTCCAATTTTAATGTTGTATCTGCTTGGTAGCATAAAATAAATCAGATGAAACATTGCTGTTGTATGGTGTGTAATAACAGAGAATTGTGATGATTCTGTTATTTCCTCTGAATGAGAGTTGCAGATGCATATTCTGAATATGAATGTTTTATCTGAAAGTAAATACAATTTAGATACCTATGCCTGTGGTTTACTTGGAGAGGCTAAACTAATGATAGTAGGAAATAAAGAAAATACCTCATGTTTTAGATTCGTGCATTAGTGAGAGAACGTGGAGAGCAGGATAAGAAGCGTCAGGCTCTGGAAGAAGATCTTGTTAAGACTGAAGCAAAGCTGAGTGCTGCAGTTCAGGAGAAAACCTCTCTTTCAGCAAATGTTGCATGCCTGAAAAAACAGCTTCTGGAGTTAACAAGAAGCAATGAACTACTAAAGTCAAAGGTATTCAGACAAAAAAGTGCATCTTGACTTTGCCTTTGTTGTTATTGAGCTTTTTGTGCAAGAGGAAGCTTTAGTTGCTGATCAGCATCTGTTTTGATATAAAGCATGTCTGGTTTGGGATCTTGTGCCTTTCTGTCTAAACACAAGAGTGGGAGGGAAACACTTTGAAAGGGTTTTGTGAACAGCAGTTCATACAAATATACACTCAGTGGTTTTATCTTCTTTTCTAACAAGCTGTCTGATGATGGAGTGCAGAAGAAAATGAGCAGCCTGTGCATGGAGTTAATGAAGCTCAGAAACATGAGAGATGCTAAGGAAAAGGTATGACCATTTGCACAGGACAGTAATTCTGAGCTGCTCAGGAACAAAACCAGTGATCCTCAGTGTAGTTTGAAGCTTTTGGTGGTGGTAGTTGTTTCACAAGTGCCTGATATCTTTACAGAGGGATACTTGAATTCACATTCACATTCAGCATAGTAGCTGGTGCTATCATTAAACAGGAGTGATTATTAAATTTCAGTTCACCACTGTCTCTTCCACAATGCCTTTTTTTACTAGATCTCATTTTACTGTTGATGTGTGTTTTTTTGTTTGTTTATTTAAGACTGCACTGGCAAAGCAGGAAGACATGGAAATGAAGCTTCAGGAAGTGCAAAGGAATCTAGAGCATTCAAAAGGAAAAGTAGCACAGTTACAAGAAAAATTGTAAGTATTAGGAAGGGAATTAGATAAGATGATATGACCTGGTGTTTCCATGCTTCTCTTTTGTAGTAACCAAAATTGAGGCTGTCTCACTACTGAGAAGGAACAGATGCTATCAGTGCTTGTAGTCTGAAGTAAATAGGATGGAATGAAATTCTAACAACTGCTGTGGTTTGATGAAATGACCATAGAAACATTGTTTCTGTAGTGTATCTAACCTTTTTCCAAAAGACAAACTGTATCATGTCAACCCTTTGTCCTCCAGTGTGGTATGGATGAGGTTTTCTTGGTATGGGGTGGGAAGGGAAGACATATGTCTTTGTTGTTCAGGCTGGAAGAGGACATTTGTATGGATGGGACATTTCTGGCTACTGAGTTAAGAATAAACAAGAATAGAAAAGCATTAAAGCAGGACCTGAAATCCTAATTCAGCAGTCAGACATTTGGCATGGATTTGATGAACGCATTCATGTTCTCCAGAGAAGTGCTTTGAAGAGCCATTGTGGTGCCCTCAGAGCTGCTTTGAAGTAGACATATGCTCTGAAGAAAGGCATCTGCAGAGTCTCTTGGTTTCAGCAGCTCTATGTAGCTAGAGAGTGAGTTCCAACTTAGCACTTTCTATTCTGCCCAAGAAATGTCATGTGCTGCACAGAACAGTGCACTAACATGTAGCCTGTTGCTGGGGATAGTGACCTTCCAAGCTGTGTTGGCACAACTGGCACTGCAGCACAAGCTGAGCTTGTGAAATACACAAAGGTAATAGTGCAGGTAGTGCAGGTCAGAGAGGGAGGAGATGCTGATTTGCTACAAAAGCTGCGTTATGTTAATGCGTTATTATGTTTGTGGCATATTGTGGCAAAATGTGGCTTAGCATCTTTACTACAATGAAAAGACTACCTGGAACAGGTATGAAAAGAGGGTAGAATCACGTCTTAGAGACAATATCAGTTTTTCAGCAAAACTGGGAGATGAAAAGTATGTGTTACTACTAACTCTAATTTGTTTAAATGTATCTGTTATGAAAACTGGTTTAGGTCTGCTACTGAAAGAGAGAAAGTTGAAGAAAAGTCTGACACTGAAAAACTCCTGGAATATGTTACAGAGCTCAGGTAACAACAAATTGCTCTCAAGAAGGCAGTTTTCCTCTTGGAAACCAACAGTCCTAAACATTTTCCTTTGTGTTGATGTGTAAGCTTACAAACAAAACTTAGTGGTAACAAGTGCCTGAATTTTTTTCTACAGTAATGTTGCAGAAACAGCTGAGAAATACAAACTAGAAGTTGCCCAGATGGAGGAGACACTGAGTAAGAAAGACCAAGATATTGAGATCCTGAGGAATACCCTCAAAGCAAAAGAGGAAGAGTCATCTAAACTGATGAAAGAACTTAATGAGAGGTGTCAGTTGCTTCAACAAGATAAAGGTAATTGTTAGTTCTTGTACACTGTTCCATATGTGGGATCACTCACATCTCTTAAAGGATCTCAAATAGGTGTTTTCTAAAATGTCCATTAAGACTGGTTTGTTCCAAGCAAGAAGTCTGAGCTCCAGCTAGGAACACCAAGGCATGTTTTTTGTAACAGGGAATCACTTCACATCTGTCATCTGTTAAGTCTGAACTGGTGTTTCTATGGAGGATAACTTGGGTGGATAGTATACAGTGGAAATTGTAGGAGTGGCTTTAATCTGAAAGGTGGACACTAAGAAGTTCTTGTTCCTTACTCCTCACTGGGAAGCAGTGTAATATTGTGTGAATTCACTGCTAGCAGCTTGTACACAGGTTCATTGAGGTATTGGGAATGTGGCATGGATCCTTCTTCACCTCCTTACTCCCTCTCTCCCAGCACCAGCAACTCTGCAATCTGACACATGCAGTCAGTTTCCTGTACCAGCTGCCTTCTTTGTGCTAGCTTGTGGAAGAAGCTTTGGGGAGCTCATGTGTTTTTCCTTGCCATACTGCTCTTCTGATGAAGGCTAATTGCTTGGTCCAAACACTTCTGCTGTTAAAATTGTTTTCAAGTGGTATACCTCGAGCCAATTTTGAGGTGTTTCCAGATGGGTTGTAGGTATGGGTTTGTTTTGTTGGGGGGTTTTCTTTCCTTGTTTTTGGTAGTTAGGCAAGGGAGAAACAAAGATGGAATGGAAGTATTATGAATGATATGTATTGTAGCTATTTGAAGATAGAGAAGGTAACGTGTGTTATATTTACAATTTTTCTATGCAGAGAAAGAGTTGTCTGAGGCCAAAGGACACTTGCTGAGTATGAATGCTGAAATAGAAGACCTGAAAAAAAAAAATTATTTGGTGGAACAAGAGCACCAAAAACTGCTTCAGAAACATGAGGAGGTCATCTCTCAGCTGCAGCAAGAGAAGGTAAATACAGGTTATAAATTAGTCTAAAAATAGATTGTAATACCAAGGATTGGCACTAAAAATTGTTTCGGTTATGCATGAGACATGCATTCCACAGATTAGGTTATCATTAATAAGGCAAAATGGGTACTGGCCTGCAAGAGCTTGTGTGGCCTAATAGGTCTAAGAATCATTGCTGGTGGGATGAGGTTTTTAGTTTTTCCCATAGATTTCAAATTTAAGCACTGCAAATTAGTCCTTTAGTACCCAGAAAGTACTGGTAGTTTTAAAATCTGTGGTACTTTGACATGCAGGACTTATCTGCATCAATGCAGCAGAAGTTACTGGAGTTTGAAGATGAAGTAACAAGTGAGAGACATCTTCTGGAAGAAGAGCTGAATGATACCATGAAGGAGCTGAATAAATTGCATGTGAAGGAGAAGAAAGCTGAAAAGTTGGTGAAGCGACTGGAACAAGAAATCAAATCTCAAGGTCTTGAACTCACACAGATGGAGGAAGAATTGAAAGGGTTTGTGAAGGAAACTTTCTGATTCAAGCTTTGAAAGGAAAAAATATTAAATTAGTAGTGTAAACAGAGCTTCTGAGCCAAATTCAAGTTTTAGAGATCTGAAGTTATTTCTTGCTGATTGTTGATTACTGATAGTGATGATATCTTATCACTAGTAGCAGTAACTTGAGTCAGTTTCATATTGCTGTAATTTAAAACAAAAAAAAAGCCTGTTGAGATTTGCTAGAAAGGCTGGTATTTTAGTGCTCTGATCTTGCTGTGCTGGGTAAACTATGTGCATGTTGTACTGGCTATTTCTGTCCTGGTTTTTCAAACCAGTTGTTTCTTGTCTAAGTTTACTATTAGGTCTTCAGTCTATTCTATAGGTCCCTTGGAAAATAAGAGGACGGGGAAATCCTTAGTAATACCTGTTGTGAAGATACTGTGCTTTAGTATGTGAGAAGTTACTAGTTTGTCACAATTAAATTTATTTCTGCTACTTCAAGCCTTCTGTAACCGATAGTAGCACTTGGTGATGTTCACACATACTTCTCTCCAGAGTGCAATGCTGAATTTTTATTTCAGGAAGAATGTGGAGTTGGAGCAAATCAAGGCAATGCATAGCAGTGCTGTATTGAAAATCCAAGAAGAGCACAGCAATACACTGGAGAAACTTGGAAAGACTATTGCTGCCTTTGAAAGGTATTTAAGTTTTATTAAGTTATAGGACAGGCATTATCTCTAAGATGACAATGAAATGTACTGTTCATTTATGTGCCTTAGCACTTCACACCACATGTGAATATTGGCATGGTATAAGAGCAGAGGATTATGAGATGGTATTTGGTGGCATTAAGAATTTATTTCTTGAGTATTAGGCAAGTATAATGACACAGTATCACTGCGTAGTTCAGGAAATTGTATATTTCTTGTTCTAAAATGTAGCCAGTAGGAGGAATTCAGTGGTGTTGAATCACAATGAGATTTGTAACTAGTGATGGTGTTCTTGGCACTGAAATACGCAAAAAGACTTGTATAGACTCAAAATTTGCACTGAATTGATAATAGTTCCCTATAGTTTGCAATTCTAATTTTAATATTGCAATTCTTTTGCCTTAAAGTATTCAGGTTTAGAAAGTTTATAAAAAGTGATACTGTTACTACTAGATGTGTGTCACCCATGAAGGATCCTGTGGGATATTTGCCAATGCCAACTACAGACTGTAGATACTTTGCTGGTTAAAATAAGCTTCAGAGAGAATAGGTCCTTTGTGTTTTGAAATACCTACAAAAATATAGTAATATCTGTGTCATTGATTTTGTCATAATGTTACTGCTTACAGCTTTATGGAATTGTGTTGCAGTTTCTTGCCTTTGGATTTATCAGTGCCTGTATGCTACCATATCTTCAGATTGTAAAATCTTTGATACTTGCTAGGACAAGCTCTTGTAAAGTGTGAACACGATAATCTGTATTTTGCATGAAGTAACAAGATTTTTCTCATTTGTACTGTAATACCAGCTATAAGAAAACATCAGATGAAGAAATTTGCAGTTTTAAACTGGAGAATGCCTCTCTGCGAGAAGAAGTCGCCAACCTAAAAAAAGTAGGCCAAGAGAATCTGCAGTTGCTTCAAGAAGCAGAACACACTAAAAACAAAGCAAATGAAGAATGTGCAAGGTAGTACACAGACAAACTTCTCCTTAAGCTAAAGAATGCAAACTGAGGCTTGCCTTTCTAACTAGAACCTCATGTGATGCTCTAGAAGATCAGATCAGTATTTGGTGTAAGCTGAAGTTTCTTGCTTTACCCAGCACAGAAGGTTGAAAATACTGTCAGACAAATTTTTTTAAATTTATATGCATTAGGAAACTGGTCTGTCCAATCAGTTATTTTGACTTTTGTCTATATATGGAACATAGAGGAAAAGGAAAATATTTGAATGAAGTATGTTGGAATATTGGCTGTTTCAGAAATATCAGTTACAGTGACTCTGCAAATAAGGTCCCCAGGGGAGATAAGCAAATACTTAATGCAGAACTCACTCTTTGCCACTCCAGTGTGAACAATGTCACCTCACATTCTGCTTACAGGCAGATGCCAGTTAATGATTCATAAATTGCCACACTGTGGTGGTGTAAACTGAGGTCCTTTCTGCCTAATGTGAGGCACCACAGTGCAGCTGATGAGAAATAACACCTGAGAAGCTGTGTTAGGGCAGTAGCTTGAGGACATGCTTCTCTAACTGTCTAACAGCAGTTTAGTGATACGTGTTCTCTATGGTTATGTGCTGGTTAAGGTACTGCTCTTTCTTTCCTCCCACCTGCTTAATGTCTCCAGTTTCATTAGAGCTGGTAAAAGAAAAACTGAAGAGGTCTTTCCTGGCTGAGGTGGCAGGGAAGGGATGGAACAAACAGCTGGGGCTGAAGAGGGGTCAATGCTTTTTGGTGTAGGCTTTTTGAAGCCTTGCATACATTCACACTGAACAGTCTTGATTATTTCCTGCTTGAACAAATCTCTGCATGTAAAGCCTATTTACTAAACTGTCCCTGCTAAAAGCTAAAAGCCATTGAACAGCTTTAAATAAGCAATGTGATCCTTGCTTCTAAAGGATTGCTTGCATCCTTATAGGAAAAGGTAAAAATGTTGATCATAAGTTTAATTGCCTTCTCTACTACTGTTTTCTTTGTGGCACTGTTGTGCAAACCTTTATTTCAGTTCTACTAGCAGCTTTTCAACCATGGTTACTTGTGGGTTTTAGATTTAATGTAGTGGAGGAAAAGTAAAAATCAAGAGCTCATTAAGAAATTAAGGTATTTTCCTCAGGATGCTTTTAGAAGTCCAGACCAAGCTTGCACTAAAAGAAGTAGAAACAGAGAGAACAAAAGAGTCTTGCCTTGCACAAATGAATAAACTTCAGGAAAAACTTGAGGAGCAAACTCAAGATCTGAAAAGAGAACTTGAAGCAGAAAGATCAAGGTGACTTTCTCAAACAGCATATTATGTCACAGCCAAGTTTTATTGGGAAAAAGTGCTGAGAGGTAACAAGGAACATAATAAAACTGTGCTTCTTGCTTTTTAGGAAAACCATAAGTGAAGATGTGACCTCTAGCTTAAAGAAAGAGATCAAGACCTGGCGTAAACTGTATGAAGATTTACATAACAAAGTTAAGCCTTTTCAGGTGTGTTTTGAAGTAGATGTTTGTTAGTATCTGTTGACCATAAGACTTTTGCAGTTGGCTCAAGTTCTACTCTGGAGAAGTAAATATGCTACTTTCCATTCTAAAGCATTTATTCTGCAGTGGTTTCCTAAGTTGCTATCTAATGAGCCAGCTATTCACCTTCCCAAAGTAATCTTCCTTGGTAGATTTCAGTTCAGTAAAAAGTTATGTGTAGTTGAAAGGAGAAATTAAATACATTTGAAATACTCAAATGTATTTCAGCAACAACTAGATGCTTTTGAAGCAGAGAAGAATGCACTCCTGGAGGAGCACGGGGTAGCCCAAGAAGAACTGAATAAACTGAGTGATGCATACGCTAAACTACTTGGTCACCAGAACATGAAGCAAAAAATCAAGCATGTTATGAAGCTCAAGGAAGACAATACCCACCTGAAGCAGGTTTGTGAAATGAAAATTAGAAATCTGCAAGTTACTAATGTGCTTGATGCCTTTGTTTGTTGCTCTAAATATTTATAGACTAATCCTGCAAGCTACTTATTTCTTGGTTCTTAAATTCCCTGCATGAAGCAGATTACAATAAACCACCAGCCTCCAGAAATGCAAGAGTTTTATTTTTGACTGAATTTACAACATACGGGGGGATCAGCAGTAAATAAATACCTCTACTCTTGGCTTGGTTGGCCTTTCCTACTTTTTTGGGGGGTCCCAGACTTAAACTGTCTGCTGAAAGTTTCAGACTGCCATACTGCTCAGTGGTGTTACACAGTACCTGAATGTGCTGCTCGATTCTCTACACCTGTATGTTTGGATTGGGTTTTAATGCCACCAGGAATTGTCTGTATGTTTGGCATTAGGCAAAATGGCTCCCTCAGTAAATGATGAAGCAGGCTCTTTTGCTGTTCTTCAATCTAACTTCCAAGTACTGTTTTCTCTAGGATGTCTCAAAACTGCGTGCATTACTAGCCAAGGAAAAGCAAACCAGCAGACATCTTCAGGAGCAGCTATGTGCAGTACAGGGCATTAAGCGTTTTGATCCTTCCAAAGCTTTCCAGCATGATAGCAAGGAAAATATTCCTCCAAAAACACCTTTAAAAGAAGGTAAGTTTGATATTGATGTAGCCTTTGTACCTCTTAAGCTTAACCAAAGAGGATATGATAGTCTTGCATGGTCTGCTGCATCTGGAGGAGGTGAATGGCATCTTGTTCCACAGCAGATGTTGGAGGCTGCATCAATGGGGCACTCCCAGTGTAGAGCTTGCTACTGTGCTTTCCAGACAGATCCTTACAACCTGTCAGGAATAGGTGGTGTGCCAGGTCATCAGAGCCATTTTCCTCCTGTTACGAGTTCACATTTTCCTGCTGATGAGGTGACCTGAAGTGTCCCTTCACGGGTCATGGGGTACAAGTGCATCAGCCCAATCTTTGCACCCTGGTTCTTTAGCTGCTATCTGGCAGGACCTTACACCACTGCAGGTGTCAAGGTAAGATGCACGAAGTCTGCAGATAAATGTGGAGCAGAGGAAAAGATGGAGAGAGCATGGAGACACACCAAGGGAAGCAGAGTAGGGAAGAGAGTTTCATTAGAGTGTCTGTCCCAGCATCTGAAATCCTGTGTTGCCTTGTGAGATTTCAGGGTAGGGCCTTCTACCCTCCAGGAGACAAGAAATTACTTAATGTGGTGGGAGCAATAGGTGAAAAACTCAGACTTAGTAACAATTTTCCATTGCAGGTCATAAAAACAAAATTTGAAATCTTCTTGGTATTAAGAAAATAAATCACCCATAAATTTGTGTGCTACTGGAGACTTCAACAGACTGCTTCTTCAAGGTGAACTTGAATGCTGTATATAATACAAATCAGTAGAAGCCCTAGAGAAATGATCTAAAACTATATATTTTTAGAAAAACTATATTTTACTGGGAAGCAACAGATGACAGCACAATCCTAACTCCTGGTAACATCATTACAGGCATGAACTCTGAAAAGTGTTTACTGTTGCATGTTTTGGATATGCTGAGGCTGCTTAATTAGTTTTAAACAGAGCATTTTAAATTTGGAAAAGGAGAATGAGCACTGGAGAATAGATTACAAATGAAATCAGATCTCATGTAAGTTGGGTTTTTTTGAGTTTTCTTTGTTTATTTTTTTTGTTTTTATGTGCTTTTTGATGTTTGTATTTTTCCCATCTATCCCATGTATACAATTCCATGTTAAATTAATTTTATTGTTTGTAGTTGCTTTGGTACCAATGGCAGCAATACTGCCAAGAGATCCTTTTACTTCTGTGGCATACACACCATGGAACCAGTGTAGAAATGTGACTGTACACTTAATTTTAATATTCTACAGGATCTATATTCAGTATATGCAAATTTAAATCCTGGGGCTAGGTGTTGCAGCTGTTGATCTTCAGAAGAATATTTTTAGGTCAAAGTCAAATTGACTGCACTTATCAAAACATTTGTGCACTGTGACTAAGATTAGTGTCTTAAGAGCAATGCTGTGTCCAGTGGACTCTTCAACTGCCACAAAATCTTTGTAGCCAGCCATTGTAAGTGATCAGTGCTACAGTGACAGGAAATAACAACAGAACTTCTCTCACTTGGGTGGGAGGACACGTTCAGAATTCACATGCATTGTACAGACTGGCACTTTTGTAAGGGGGAAAATCTGTTAAACTGCATTTAAAATTAAGAACATTTTAGCACAATAAAAATTTTAAATTAAAGAATTTGTTGATTTACTTTGTAAACCAGGGATAAAACACAAAATTACGTTACAGTGGGATTTGTCTAATGTACTTTTTTCTAGTCTTGTCTTCAAAACAAAGCCCAATGTCAGTCTTGCCTCAAAAACTCTAGTTTTTCTTTAGTCTTAGGGAAATTATTTAGCTGAACTATACAATACACACTACCTGCAATTCTCTTATTTTCTTAATACAAAATATTGAATTTAAGCCAAAGGTGGAACTGTGTTTTTGTTAGTGTATGTCTGTGCAGCTGTCTTGCACAGAGGTGCTGCAGAGGCAGTACCCAAAGCTTAGCTGGTAGAATTTATTGCCATTTATGCTGACATTGTGAGCTTACAGAGACTTCATAATTCCTAGGAAATTATATACAAAAAATGCATGTTAAGTCCAAGGCTAAGAAGTTGCTAGATGTCTGTTAATGCCATCTTTGTGTATTTGCTGGATTACTTGATCCTCTGAAGACTGAGGATGAGGATTAGTTTCAGGTCTTTTAATTAAGAGAGCACTCAATATACAGCCTGAAGCGTTGAGACATTTTGATAAGTTGCTAGAAGTATTTTATACTGGAGTTCTCTCCTTGTGGAGAAACAAATTAAGGCTTTCTTGTCTGAAAGATGTAAATGGAGTAAAAAAAAAACATGTAGAGGAAACAGGAATGTTAATGGAAGGTTCCACCAAACTCGAAACATAAAAATGGAGACACTGAGTTAAGGTTTTGGTTTTTTTTTTTGACTGAAGGTACAAATAGGCAAAGGAAAGCCAAGAATGGCAGGTGTCATGGGACTGGGCTTTTTTAGAGTTGCTACATCCTTGTTTGATACAGCTGCCATGAGCGTGCTTATACTGACGGGAAGAAAAGGGAAACTCCAGCAAATAATTCTTCTAGACTTACAACAAGGGTGGTCCTTGAACTTTGAAACATTGATAAATCATGTAGAGCAGAGTGGGGAGAAAGGCAAAGGGTGGAAGTCAAGGGGAAGTTGAGGGCTTTTTGTCAGCTTCAGTGTAGGAAGCTTTTTTTGCTTTCATGCACTATGAAATGAAGTATTAAAAACTGAAACCTTGACATTTGTAGCTCAACTGACATTAGCATTCACTTCAGGAATCCATTACTTTCATGTTGTGGAAGATTATTTTTTTTTTAATTGAAAAATACATGATTTAACACAAAAGTTACTGCTCTGATCATTCATATTGCTTTATTGTAGCAAGAGCTGGTCTGTGCTTAGTTGAAATATAACGTGAAGAGCTCTTAGAATTCTCAACCTGCCACACCTAATTAGAGCCCTCCTACGGTTTGCTATAAAAGACAAACTGTGTAAGACTCAGTGCCAGTGCTTTGAATGGGTCTCATGCACACAATGGCTGTGCTTGCTCATGCTGGCTGTTATGAGGTAAAAATTTAAGCTCATACTGAGCTGCTTAAATGGTACCACTGAGACCAGACCAAAAGCTTTACAGGATTTAGAGCCACATGTGATATAGGGCTTGGATTTGTTTTGGTTTCAAAGGTCAGCAGAGCCAGTGCTGCTCTCAGTCCATGTGTTCTCTGCAAGCACAGCAGACAAAGGGACAAGTGCACAGTAGAACTGCAATGATTTCCTAGGCTGGTAACTCCCTCTGTGGTTTGGCAGTGCCTGAAATGCTGCTGGAAATGGAGCAGGTAAGGCTCTGGGTATTTGTGTTAACAGGTTGCTACCACACTTTGGTTACAAAATCAAGGGAAAAGCAAATGGGGAGGAGAGAGGGAGACTTAATTATGCTTTAGTCTCTGAATTACAGTCTGAAATGTTAATTTAATGAGTGGTCCATTTAGTCACCATGGGATGCATAATGCTTAAGTGACTGTGATCTAGACAGCAATATAATTTTTATTGTAAAATCATAGTGTTTCATAAAGTGAATGTAACAATAATAAAGAAATTAAAAGTGTAGGTAGAACACTATTATTATAGAACATGAGCTCTGACTCGAGGTAAATATTTGAGGAAAAAAAATAGATTATATTGTATAATGAAGATACAAAAACTACATATAATTTAACTTATTCTGGTGACAAAGATGGTAAGACATTTTACAGGCTCATTTATGATTGTAGCTTGAGATTTCAGTGTTATGCTTTTGCTATTTTCCTCTTGCTCTGAGCCTGAAAGACAAAATTTTTGTTTCCCCATCATGGTATTTTTGTTAAAACGGACAGGGGAGCTCTTCCAGGCTGTGTTGGGAGAAAATGATGTGATATCAGGTCTTACCTCCATGCTGCTAAACAGTCTGGTATTTCTTTGTAGATTCTTCTTCTTGATTTCAAACAATAAATTACTGATATTTTGAAATAGAATTCTAAAGTTAATGGAAAGGAATTAAGTGTCAATAGATTGTTACATGGGGAAAAAAGGGCATCTTTTCAGTCTCATTCCATGAAGGCAGAAACTGGATGAAGTACTTTAATTTTTTATGTATATGCACTTTTTTGTCCTTTAAATGTTAGCTGTTTGTCAAAAATAAAGGTAATTTACAATATTCTATAAAATTTTAGTATGGTTCTATTAAATTTTGGTAGGCTTTTCTGGTGTTCTTCCTTGAGTACTACTAATTAAAACTATTTTAATCAAGTCGATTTGAAATAAATTCATTGGCATAGATACAAATGTGAAGTAGCTACAGGGAGTTTTGGCCAGTAGTTTTTATGCATCTACTTCAGTTCTTTTGCTAAAACAATGCTAGGCACAGTCTCTGCCTCTGTGAGTCAGAAATGGTACAGGAACGCTTTGTATACATTATCCTGTTACCTTCAAAACTTCTATGAAAAAAGAAATCAAATCTGTCACCTTGTAAGCACGTAATTATACATATAGGATGAGTACTGTAAGCAGTAATTGTGCTCTCAAAAACAACCACCTCTGTGGGATTTACCAGTTGCTTTTACATCGAACTCTGGATAAAGGTAAATTGAAAATGCTTATTTTTCTCCATTCTAAAAGGAGGAATAAAGTGATTTATAGTGAATACGTGACAGAGCTATATGTGCGATAGTATGATATTTTGGTCTAATTCTGAACTTCCACTTTGTTTTTTACAAATGAGAAATCACAATAGAAAAGTTCACAGTTTCAGTAGGCGAAATGTGGTCGAATATTAAAACGCAGCGCCACACGTACTTACTGCAGTAACTTTTATTACTGTTTAAAACACCATGACCATGAAAAGCGGAGCCAGCCCTGCAGGTACGGCAGCCCCAGCGCTTGCGGCGCCCCGAGAGCACAGGGCCCCTCTGCTTCCCTTCTCCGCGCTGAGGCCGGGAGCGTTACGGGGCCACAGCGGCCGCTTTTGCTTATGCATCTCGCTGCTGCTGTGAGGCGCTCTGTGAGGCGCTCGGTAAGGTTCTGCTGCTGTGAGGCGCTGTGTGACACGCAGTGAGGCGCTCGGTAAGGCTCTGTTGCTGTGAGGCGCTGTGTGAGGCGCTGTGCCGCGGGGCGGGGCTGCCTGTGGGCACTGACAGCTCCCGCGCTCCCCCCCGCCTGCTCCCCGCCCGCACGTGCGCCCTCCCTGTCCCTTTAATACCCGTCCTGGCCCCGCCCCCTCGGCGCGCCCCGGCCAATGAGTGCGCGGCGGCGGGAGGCGCGTGCGTCGGGCCCGCGGCGCAGGGAGGGCGCCCCCTGCCGCGCGGCGCTCAGCACGGGCGCGGAGCCTCCCTCGCGCAGCGCCGGGCCCCGCCATGGTCGGCCGGGAGAAGGAGCTCAGGATCCGCTTCGCGCCGGGACGCTGCGAGCTCGTGGAGGTGAGGGCGGCGGGGCCGGCAGCCCGCCGCGGGGCGGCTGTGCCGCTGTGCAGCGCGGGGCCGGGCAGGCAGGCCCGGAGCGCTGACGCATTCGCCGCGGGGCCGCGGCCGCTGGGGCTGCGCCTCGAGGGGCCGCAGCTACCTGAGAACTGCAGCTGGGAGCGCCCGCGGGCTCCGCGAGTTGGGTTGTTCTGTATCCTCACGGGGACGCTGTGCTCGGCAGCCCGCGGTGCTCGGCAGCCCGCGGCGCCGCTCTCGGTGAGCCCGTGGCCCAGGGAAGGGCTCGGCGGTAGCGGCTGTGTGCGGGAATTGCACACAGGATTCCTCTGGCAGGCGCGTCCCTGCTACTGTCCCGGGCGGGGTCGGTGGTGCCCCACAGGTGTACGTGAGTTGCCGCGACAGTGAAGTTGGGCGTGTAGGGAAAGACAGAACAAGTCCAGGTAACGCGACTGTAGATTCACCTGTCGTTCTGAGCCTTTGGAAAGCCACAGGCTTTGCCTTTTGTTTTCTGTGGCTGCAGGGAATGTCAGAGCTGAGAGAGCTCAGTCTCACGTTCCCTGTAGTGACTTGGATCTCATTGTGTTATGTTGTAAATCTGTTACACCAGTAGCTTCCGGGTTTTAGTGGCCATTCCTTAAACTGGTGGTTTGAATTCATCATGATTTTCTAAAGAAAAATACAGAATTTGAAAAGCTTTATGAAAAACTTTAAAAGCACTTGTTTCTGGTTTTCAACTTGAAATGCATCGTGGTTTGTTCTTTTTACAAATTATACTGTTATTTTATAGTTTAGTAATGTCTACAAAGTGATCTGGTGCCTCATAAATGCTGTTTTTTAATCTGATAATGATGTAACTTTTTTATGTGCATGAGACTTCTAAACACAATGCCTTTTTGCTATTCTTGGTTAATATGGACATCAGATGACAATAAATGGGTAGCTGCATTATAAACCTCAAAACTGTATGTTCCAGTAGGGTTAGTAGACTATAGAAATGCTGCAGCTAGCTTCCTGTGAAGGAGCAAAGCAGCATACAGGGAAAGAGTTCATCTGTTCAGGTTGTTTATCACAGTAGTGTTCAAGTTTCTGTCAAGAAGAGGTTCAAACTGGTAATTAGTTGGTGTTGGATTTTTGGGAAACATCTATAATTTGTCTTGCTCTCTCAGAAACAAGGGGCAGGAATCAATTAGTCTTGCAGACAGCAGTAGTATGCAAGATGTGCTTGGTGAAAGCTGTGTTTGTGTCCAGTTCAAGCTGTCCTGCTGATGTAACATCATCTTTATGATACGTAAAATAAACAAACTTAGATGAATGAGGCTTTAAAACATCAAATTTGCAGATGACACTTGGTTTTGTGTTGGTCACTTCCGTCTCACTGAAGATATTCAGTTGTGTTTTTAGAGAACCTTTTTGACTCTGTTTTGCAGCAATTGGTAGATATTTATTAGCAGGCAGCTCTGGCTGTGGAAGCCCTGATCACAGGTCCTGTGGCACTGTGCAGACTTTGCTAAGAGAAGTACAGAATAAAATAGTAGTTGCATGGTCTTGCTCATGCTTTACAGATGGTAAACGAGCTTGTGTTCTCAGGTAAAATTTAAGTAACTTTTTGAACATCACTTGCTGTAGTCTGTCATTTTCAGGCCACTGTCCAGATATAAAATATTAATTATCATCCACTACTAATGGGAATAAGTCAGCCTTCATGTGGAGATTTAGAGTTGAGAAAAATACATGCCCTGTGCTGGGAACTTCAAACAGTTGTTTTGATGTAGGCTTTTTCCATCATGCTGCTCTGCATATACCCTTATGGAACAAAAGCTTTCTAACTTCATGGGTGAAAGATAGTAATTTGGACATGGCTTCCTGTGCTGCAGCCAAAAAGTAGCAGTCTGGTACAGTGCTTAGAAATTACTGGTCTATTGAGATTGCATAGCAGAAAACATTCTATGATAGTATAATTCTACAGGAATTATAGTAATTTGTCACAAATTGTCCTTGTGTGTAAAGTGGTCAGGAAATCCAAGATTTGTGGATTCTGCACACCCAAAGTTTTTTCTGCACAGGCATGGTAATGATATGCTTTCATTTTTATTTTTAGCAGGCGATTTTGGGGCTATTCATGGCAGATATAGAAGGAAAACATCAAAGGAAAATAAAGATTTCAGAGACAAACATGGATCTTGTATTTGGTGTCTTGAAAACTTGATGTTCTGGTGAGAGGTGGGATGAAGTTTGTGTGTACTAATGTTCACAAGCTGTCCCAAGTACCAAAATGTGCAGGAGCTAAAGTACAGCTTTAGTCTATTGAATAGATTGAGAACTGAAATTGTCAAATCACTTCTAGATGCATTTTGTAAAACTGACGAGAGATCTGTATCTTGGTTTTACTTATTAATAGACTATTGTGTTGAATAACAACTAATTACTCTTCTATTTAATAATAATATAAAATATTTTAATTACTACAGTAACTTGTATTGTATTGCTGCAGCTTTTAACAGGCACAGCGTATCCAGAATTATTTGTTGTAGGATTTGGACCCTAAATGTTACATCTTTTGGGTCCATTTTCTAAAGAAGTTATTTCCCTCCTTTTAGATTGCACAAAGTTATCAGCTTTTGAATGAACTTAAAAATCTGTCTTCACTCGCGTTTTGTTGTAGAAGTAAATGAGTTGCTCACTGAAGTTTTGTTTTCATTACCTTTGAACATATGTTTAAGTAGATGACTGCTTCAGTATTGGTCCTCCCAGATGTTGGTATTCCATGAGACACTCCAAAAGATTCAGGAGAAGCTTTTTTAGTACTCTGACTGTAGTCTTGCATACTTTTAAAGAAAAAATAGTAAAAACTACAGTAGAAACAAAACTTTTCCTGTTGTCATTTCCCTAGGAAGATGTTGACGTTCCCAGTAGGCGAGTTTTGATCACTGGTGCTACGGGACTTCTTGGCAGAGCTGTATTTAAAGAATTCAATGAAAATAATTGGAACACAGTTGGTTGTGGATACAGGAGAGCTCAGCCCAGATTTGAACAGATTAATCTTCTGGACTCTATTGCAGTTCATGACATTATCCATGATTTTCAAGTAAGTTTCTGTAGTGTAAAGTGGATGGGAGGGGTATTTTATGCGTCCAGTAGTCAGCTGATAGTGCTGCTGAGTTCTGGGGCCTTAGTGGGGCTGGTGCTTTGGCAGAGCTCTGACAAAGGTGCCAGCTGTGTGTTCTGCCCCACCCAGAGCAGAGGTTTGCTCTGTAGGTACAGATAGCTCTGCTCTTTGCTGTGCTCACCACAGGCAGGCTCCAGGCACAGCTGTAAGTGCCAGCACACTGGAAAGGAGAAGATATGTTTATTGACACAATAATGTGTCAACATCCAGTTCTGGGGAAGTGGAAGAATATTTGAATACAACAGCAGTAGTTCTGTGTAGTGGGCAGTGTTCACTGGTTTTTCAGTCTAAGTGCCAAGAGGAATATATAAAACCTGAAATGCATTATGCAGGGTGCTATTCTGTAGAAGAGTAAATATTATCTTAATAATCTGCATACATCAAGTAAGCCATGTGTAAATATTATACCTAAAAATTTTTAGTACCCTTGTGTGCATGAGAGATGTATCTTATATTAATATATATTTTACTATACTGAGTTAAAAAGAAAAAAATCCCCACAATTTCAAAGCTGCTGTAAAATTGAAGCTACTGGAGACCATAATTGCACAATTAATGATAAATGCTTTTCGTATCTTGAAACAGCATGGTTTTATTAGTATTTTTAGTAAAAAGATACTAAGGAGAAGGTGTTCCTCAGCATTCCTACAGAATGCTGTAATTAAAAATAACAGCTTTATTACTTAGTTTTGCCTGAGGGGTGTCATTGCTAGAGTTAGGGTGCAACCGCCATCTCTTGATATGCTGGTTGTTTAAAATTAGTCTTTAATTTCCAGCCTCATGTTATAGTGCACTGTGCTGCTGAGAGAAGGCCAGATGTTGTAGAAAGTCAACCTGACGCTGCTTCTCAGCTCAATGTGGCTGCTTCAGCAAACTTAGCAAAAGAGGCAGGTAAGGAGACCATCTCATGGCTTTGGTGTCTTATTAAAATCCTGCATCTATTTATACAGGAGCATCAATGCAAATGGTACGAGTGTGAATGTCACTTCTGCCATCAGTGTGCTGTCAACCTGTTTTCTGTAAGAGTGATGTGCACAACTCTGAAGGATGAGGGAACAGACAAAACAGCAGGAATGAATGTGCATGAAAGATGAGATCCTTGGGAGGATTTAAGGGTCTATTGGGATTTCAAAGAAGGTATGAATTAATATAAATGATCTATAAACATTTTCTTCATAGCTGGAGTTGGAGCATTTCTGATCTACATTAGTACAGACTATGTATTTGATGGAACAAGCCCTCCATATAAAGAGACTGATGTACCAAATCCCCTGAATTTATATGGTAAAACCAAACTGGAGGGTGAAAAGGCAGTTCTGGAAAACAATGAAGGTAAGACACTCAACTATTTTTAATATAGGCTTTCTATTTTTACTCATTTATATATTAGCTTAGTAGACTCTTAAGCCAGTGATGAAGTTGCAAAACCATGGAAACGAGTTTCAGAGAAGAATGTGATTAGGAGTTGGTCTCCTTGCTCATGAGCAATCCCTCTTGCTTATATCTTGACTAAAGCTTTTATTTCTTACCTGTTCCAGTCTTTATTTGTGTTGTCTCTCTCTGATGGATATTCAAGAGCCTTTGTCTGTTGTGAATCTGCAGTTCCTAAAGAAAGATAAAATACATCATTCAACACATAGCTGCAGTTATTTATGGGGATGCATTGCATTGCATGTGTTGTCAATGTATGTTTACTTAAAGGGAAAACCAGACGTGATTCAGTAATAATACAGCTCAAATCAACATGGAGCCTTGTTTCTCTTTGGGTTCTGCTCTATTACATATGCCAACAGGCCACTCATGTTGGTTTTACTCACCTTCACACATCATATTCCTTCTTGTAATACTTTCTAAAGGGTTAATAACATATTTATTGTTTTAAACAACAAGATTTTTAAAATTTGTTTATGTCTTTTCTTAATGAAAATTTGGCATATAAAATATACAAACAATTTTTAAAATTCTACTTAAAGGAAAAGAGCATGTTCTCTTTAAGATTTGTTTCTTGTATAGAGATTTGGCTGTTTCTAGTTAGTACACTGTTAGTGTACATTCAAAGATTGTAAAGAAAGAAGCACTTGTTTTTTTTAATCAAAAAATCTGAAGAAAATAATCTCAGTACACATGCAGAAGAGGCTTCTGATATGTCAGTATGATACTCACACTCTGGTTTTGTGCTTCCCAACCAGAGAACCAGTTTAACAACCTGTTGTTAAATTAATGTGATGGTCTTCCAGTAAGTAAATATGCTGTGTATGATGGATGTGGCATTAGTAGTAAGAAAGAAACTTTTTAAAAAAGTACTTTGATAAGAAAAGTCTTGTTTAAGTAAAAACAAATTTAAATGACAAGTTATTCCCTCCACCTCTAGATTAAATACCATCTCTGAATTTGACTGTGATGCTGTTTGCTCCCTCTTCTAGATTGCTAATGAAGATAAGACTTTACCAAATCCAAGTATGTGTGGGTATCTTGCTAGACCCTTCCACCAGCTCAACACTGCAGTTTGGTTTTGTAAACTTTTGGAGCAAGATCTGTCAGAGAGCAGTGATGTTACTAGCAGGAGGAGTGTCAAGGTGGTGCTGAGTAAAGAGTTAGAAAATATGAATTCTCTTGATTCATACAAATACATGTATTTTCCATGTACTGCTGTTCCAACCACTAATTTTCTGATATAGTGTAGGTAGAATTCCATTGGTCAGATCTGTAGCTGTGTTAACTGCCCTGTCCATTTCTGTTGTAAAATGCAGAAATCTCCAGTAAGTGGGTTTAACATTTTTTTAGAAAGGTACTTTACCATGGTTAAAACAGGATACATGCATATATATATATGTGTGTGTGTGTATATGTATGTATGTATATATATGTATATATGTGTATATATATATGTATGTATATGTATATAGTCATGCTTGTAAAACTACAAAGTGTCAAAAGGTCCTAAGAGCTGCTAGTCGTGAGGCTGATCCTCTCCATGTCCCAGAGAGCTGGGAATGAAAGGAAAGCAGTTTTCTTCTCAAAGAATGAATATTTTTAGAGCAATTAAAAAATAGATGTTTCAACTAGTATTTAAAGAGGAAGAACTTACCTGCTGAATGACCAAATAACTGCTTCTAGAAGCAGCAGGAAATCAGTGTCATGTTGGGCTTTCTATTTGTTTTTCTTGTCTAAGTACTTGTGGTTTACTTCTCTGTGAGAATAATTTCTGTATTAGCTTTTGCTGTTTGTCTCTCTAATAGCTATAGCATTTCCCTCCAAATATATTAAGAATGGCAATGTTTTGGTGACTTCAGCTTCTAATTCCAGTTCTGATTTTTTTGTTTTCTCTTTCAGCAAAACTATTACTTTTAAGTAATTTGTCATAGCCTTGGATTTCTCCTCAGAGGCTTTTTGAGTCTTCATGATAGAGATATACTAGTATGATATATTCCATCATGAAATATGCTTCTCTTTGCATTTTGTTAATTTCTCAAATCACTGTCCTGGAATCTTATTATTTACTATTTTTTACTCTTTATTATTACTAAATATTTACATTATTTACTATTGTGTTCTGTGAACCTATTCCTTGTTTGTCAAGCTTTTAATTTATTTCAAGGGTCATATCTTTTTTCCTTATTATTTTCTTAATATTATTTTAAATAATATCCTCCTTTATACAGGAGGTTTCTGCATGATGGGTGAAAAATCTTTGTAATTGATGCCTGAATATGATGACTTGTGATTCGTGGGAATTTTTCTCCTTGCTCTTACCCAGTGAGGATGGCAAGTGCTGAAGTAACTGTATGGAGTAGTTTTTGGTTTTTTTAATTTTTGTTTTAATCCAAACAGGCATCTTTATGCAATTAATTAAGGCTTATTAACTTTCTGGAAATAATGGCATAAATGAAAATAAATAATAATATAATAATATCTAAAATTTTAGTGTTTATAAACTGATTTTGATAAAAATTAAAATTCTATTCTGTGAGCCAACATACTAGCATTTTATTTGTGATTTGTAGATGCTTAATATGATCAGCATATTTCTTAACACTTCCACTTTTCAGATTATGCTGCAGCATTTGTTCCCACCCATGATCTAAAATATTATTTCTTTTAGAAACTGCAGTACTTAGGATTCCTGTCTTGTATGGAGAGGTGGAAAGACTGGAGGAAAGTGCTGTGACAGTAATGTTTGATAAAGTACAGTTCAGTAATAAATCTGCCAACATGGACCACTGGCAACAGAGATTTCCTACCAATGTCAAGGATGTAGCAGCTGTTTGCAGACAACTAGCAGAGAAAAGAATGCTGGTAAGAGTGGCAAGAAATGAGCCTCTGCAAAGTGAAAACAGTTTGAGTTCTCAGCTTTGCTTCTGAACAACTGAGAACTGCACATCACCTGGATTATTTGCATTTCTGGAATGCTAGGAGGGAGGAAAGAACTGGCTGTAATACTCCAGGATCTTTGCATGACTATAAGGGTATTGTGGTCTTTGAAACAAAAGTGGTTCAAGGGATGGGACTAGAACCTTCTGAAAATTGTTTTGTGTCTTCCGGTATAGAGAGAATTAGAAATGCCGAATTCATTCTGATATGCCTTTTACAAATTGCTAGTTTGAACTAAACAAAACCATGTGTTTGAATGTAATTCTCAAATATGCCCTTGTTTATTGTATTAACACTGAAGTGGCAGAACAAAGCCCCTGGCCTGAATTACTTCCTTGTATTTGTTCACCACAGCACCTTCAGATTATCATCTTTGCAAGGTAACAGAACCAAACAGTAAACAACCACCTTTATTTTTTCATACAGTAACTTTGTAAACATGGACCATGGACATGGTGCAGTCAGCTTGACTGGACTTGTACAGGGTTTGCAGCTTAACATTCAGCATATGTGTAATGCCTTTTGCCTTTGTTTTTGAGTAAGTGAACATCACAGAACAGCTGAGTTCCTCCTCCCCAGCTCTTTGATCTTGTTTGGTTGGTGGGCAGCTCCTTTCCCTCCTGTTCATTCTACAGTACAGGACACAAGCTGTTTGTGAAGTCAGGTCAGATAGAAGTAAACACCAGTTTCCCATCTCAGTCCCTTGCTTGGGTGTTCTCTGAAAGGGTACATATGTTTCTAGAACACCTCTGAGGTAGTGTAAGATGCCTTTTGAGATAGGGTCTTGCTGGATGCTAATTCTGCACAGTTCTTGCACAGGAATTAGCCTGAGGGCCTGCTGGCTGCTTCCTTTCATCTGAGTTTCCTCTTTCTTCTCTAGGACCCGTCAATAAAAGGTACCTTTCACTGGTCTGGCAATGAACAGATGACTAAGTATGAGATGGCCTGTGCAATTGCAGATGCTTTCAACCTTCCCAGCAGCCACTTGAGACCAGTAAGTGATGTGTTGTTGGACATATAGGCAGACAGATGTGCCTGATCATTGCAAGTAGCAGGTCTCCCGCTGGCTGTACAAGTGAGCTTCCTCTTCAGGATGGGCTGTGTCCAGTACAGCAGATCTCTTGCTGAGGGGTTTGGCTGGTATCAAGCTCAGGAAAACAACAGCTGCTTTGACCTGCTGAATTAGGAAAATTAGTCGCTTGGTCAGTCACCAGTTTCCCAGTCTGTGGTGTAATGATATTTCTGCAGATCAGTTCCCCTTAGTCACAAGCAAATCTGTACTTTTATGTTACATATTGATAGAACATTAACTTGAAGATAAGGCTCTGTAAAGGCTGTGCAATGTCCAGATTTATTTCTGAATACATTTACTTAAGAGCTACAAATTATTTTTGCTTTGCTTAAAACACACCTCCTGCAGTTTTATTGACGCTTGAGACTACTCTTAAAGACGTACTGGTAATGTGGTGGGCATATAAAATATAAGGAAGATTTTATCTATGTACAAAATAAATTCTGAGGATTCAGAATTGGTGAACACTGAAACTCAAATGTGACTTGGAAGATGGAAGAAAAACAATGGAGAACACTTAGTCTTAATTTTTTCTGCCCAACTCTTTTTCTCTTTGAGGATATTGATCAAGACATGGTTTCATTTACATTCTGGAGCATTCCTTACCTTGTGACAATAATCACAGAGTGAAAATATGAATAAAATGTTGAAAAACACAAATAGTTGCAGTAAAGAGAGTGAGAAAAATTTCCCTTAAGACAATTCACATGGCCTGATGTGTTGAAATAAAGTTAACAATAAAACAAGTAAATAGCAAAAAAATCCAAATTACAAAAAACCCCACAAAATACTTGGGAGGTTTAATCTATATCTGTATAGAAAGCTGTGAAGAAAAAGTTCTACTGTACAAGTATTTTTCAGTCACTTCTGATTGCTTACTGGTGTGGGGCTTTTCTCCTGTTTCTGATTTTAGATTACTGATAGTCCAGTTGTGGGTGCTCTTCGTCCGAAGAATGCTCAGCTGGACTGCTCCAAGTTGGAGATGCTGGGGATAGGTCAGAGAACGCCATTTCGAGCTGGGATCAGAGAATCACTTTGGCCTTTCCTTGTTGACAAGAGATGGAGACAGACAGTCTTCCATTAGTTTGTAACTTTTCTAGTAAAAGTATGGTATGTGGCACTTTTTTAAAAGAAAAAATAGTTTTGTATGAGTGTTCTTAAATTGTGACATTTATGAGCTTTCATTTAATTGGGTAAACAAATGGTCTTGCACTAGTGAAACTTAGCCTAAAAAATGTTCAGTGACAAAAACTGAGCCTATTTGATGTCATGGATTTTTCCCTCCATTTGTACCAGTCTAACTTAGTATCTGTTCTTGGTGGATTGAGGTTCTTAGTAATGAGTACTGTGTGATGCTAAGAATGACTCGGATCACTTGCTGACTTAATTTTGGCTGAAATATATTGTTGATGCTTAAGGTCTGTGCCATTGTTGTATATACCATTTCTCTTCATTAAAAGACATGGTCAGTTACTTTGTCACCAAAAATCTGAGGGTTTTTTTTTTTTTAATTTCTGAAGGTGGTGTTCTTAGGAAGTTAAGCTGAAGTAGGAATCCTTAAATGTTTGTTTTGCTTGAGCTCTGATCAAAATGTTTTTTAAAAAAGTGAAGCTTTATTTTTGCAATTACCAAGTGTACTTTTTATGCTTGAAATATTTTCAGAATGTTCTGTAAATTGAATGCCTGCAGCTTTGTATTTGTACAGTAAGTTGTATGCATTTGTTTTCATGGTGACTTAAGGGGGAGGGTGAGGATGGTGGGAAACCATTAGTTTTGACCTGGGGTTTTTTTGGGTGGGGGATTGGAATTGAAGGATTTTTTTTTATTTTTTACTGGGTGGTTATTTGTTTTTTGTATGAGAACACAAAATATCTTCATCCTTCCTTTCCCTTTGTGGGGACGGCATTTGCAACTTGTTAAATTAATGGAAGATGTTTGTTAGTCAGTGCATGGGAGATGGAGAGGAAAGGTGTTTAATAGTTTGTAGCACTGCAGTGGCTTTTGCACAGATTGTCAGACCTAACACCACTGCAGCAGCTTCTGGAACAGCAAGGTGTATGTGGTGAAGGTTTGAGGCATTATAAAACTGCAACAGTCTAATATAAGACAGTCTTTAAAGCTAGACTCAATAGCAAGGTCATGTGGAGGAAGAACATTGTAAAGCTTTGCTTCCTTTTGAAGTTGTTGAATCAACAATATAAATGTTCTGATATTGCTAGCAGATAATTAATAAAGCTAGTAAAAGGTGCAATTGGATGATCATTTATTTTTCTGAGGCTGAAATGAAGGGGAAGGGAAAGATGTTTAGATTTAATTTTTTTTTTAAGTGTATGGGGGAGACACACAAAAATAGACCAATTGAAGGTTTTGTAAAGGTCAGCTTCACGTTCAGTCATTTCATTTCAACTGGCCTATGCTAAGCATTCATAATCCCAATTTGTTTTTAGTCTGAAGTCCTGATACACACATGGTAACCTATCTCCAAAATTACAATAAATATATATTGCCAGCATGAGAAACAGTCGTTGATTCTTTCTTTACCATCAGGATTTATTTATCTGAAGCATAACTGTTTGCAATTCTTGAGATCTGTGTGCCCTTTCAGTGTTGGGGGCTTTTCCCCTCTTAAATTCAGTAATTATTTTCAGGCTTGGATTAGATTGGATCAATTTCTCTGTCAGTGTCACTGCCTTGGAGATGTGATAAAGGTAAACACAAAAGATACAGAAGGTGTTGAAATATGGGCCCTGAAACATCTTGGGCCTCAGGGCTGGATCAGGAAGATTCTATGTCCATTCCCCTTGCAGAGAGCAATTTGGAAGAAAAAAAGGATGACTTCTCTCCCAAAGATAAAGGACCTAAGTGAGATGAGTTGGGCATTTTACTGGAAGGACAAAATTGAAATATTTGAACTTTTTTTCCCACACTGAGCAAGTAAGTCCTGCTGTCCAGTTATAGCCTGTCAGAGGGGATCCATGTCCTCAGCATCCCCCTTGGAGACTGCAGTCTTGAGGCATTTTGCTACTGGACAGACACCTTGGATGGCATTTCCCTCCTCTGGTTATAGAAATCTAAGCACCAATAAATATTGTAAGAGGTAGTGAAACTAACACTGTCATTTTCCAATCACTTTAAAGATATCTTACTATTGACACAACTTGTCATACTCTTTCCTTTTTGTCTCTGGCTTTGTTTCTGACTGTGTGACACTGGAAGTGTGTGTGTGCATCCACAAGGGCCAGGAACTTTTAAGGGTCAAAATAATTTTGATTGCATGAGACAGTCTTGGCATTGGGAGGAAGGAGTGGCCTCTTTTTCCAGCAGCTGTGCCAATTTCTGCCAGGTTAGAGATTGTGGAAGTATGGCAATACACAGTCCTCGAGTCCCCCTTCAAGGGTTGTTGGAGGTTTATATTCATTTATTCATTGCTGTCTGTCAGCAGTGGGCATAAAGAAAGAAAAGTCACTGGTTTTAAAGTCTCATTTTCTGTTTCAGGCTGCAACAATGCAGTAGAAGCCCAGCAGAGAAGGGGCTGATGTGTGTCTCAAACACTGATAGCCGGATGGCTGCGGAGCAAGCCAAGGACTGTTGGTGTCTGGTGAAGAGGCCATTCAGGGGTTGGGCAGCACTTTTCTGGGACAAACATCCTTGTTCTGGCTGCTGAACATAAGCACAATACATACAGCACAAGCATGGGAATCTGGTCCAGAAGTGCTTACATTTTTTAAAAAGACCCCAAAACTCACTGACCTATTTCTTGGTTTAGAAGAAGGGACTTCAGGATAACTAATTTGCATAGAAAGTGATAAACTTCTCTCTGGGGCAGGGAAAACTTACCTAGGGAAAGGTACCCTGACCAAGCCCAGGACCCTGGGCATGTCAGCAACTGGATCAGCACTGGAGCCAGGACTGGTGATCTCTTTTTCTCCCTTTTTTCTTCTTTCCCTCTCTTTAATGAATCTCTTCCTCTCTCTCTCTTCCCTTTCGCCCTTCTCCTTTATTTAAAACCCCCTGCCATGTTTATGCTTATGTAGGAGGTCAGGGACTAACTGTTATCAAATTCCATGCCAAGTGTGTAATTCACTAATAAAACTTTGTAAACTTTTATAGACCCTCTGACTTTTGTCGTTCTTTACAATATTTGAGTCATTTGAAGAAATCTCCTGGTGGTTTTGGGAAGCACAAGTGTAAGAAAAGTTTGCTTTTCAATAGAAACTCTGTGTAAGTGCCAGTGATGTAATCTCCAAGGACTTTTGTGCAGAGTTGGACTTTGAAGCTCATGAAACTTATAAAACAAATTGTTGCCAATTTTTGGTCATTTTGCAGTTTTTGTTAATATTTGCTTTTAGGGTTTAAGCTGCCTCCTTGCATTCTAAATTTTCAGTTTGCTAATAGGCAAGTTCCAAATTTGCTAAGGATTCTGCAAACAAACTGAAGAAGGAAAATGTATTTTGACTAATGAACTAATATGATTGCACAGAAGTTAGCTGTGGTTTACATTATACACGTATTTATACATTTTAAAACTACTGTTCATGCGAAAACACATTTTTTCATTGGTGCCTCTATTTTGTCTATGTGCTCTGCACATGCTCTTTAGGGCCCAGGACTGGTTACAGTTTAGGTGTTTAACTGCCCTTTGTTATCTGGCTCTTGTGGTTTTGTTTTCTTGCTTTTCAGCCTCTTCTTTCTTATTTTTACAACAGCTTATGTCTTAGCAACTCTAAGAAATTCCAGACGTACCTGCAGGAGGTACCTGCAGAGCTGTGACCTGTGCCTGCTGGGCACCTAGCAGAGCAGGTAACGTAATCTCCAATGGCATCAGTAATTTCTGCCCTAATGTACATGAGGCTGTTTTACATTAACTCACAAATGACATAAATTACTCAAGTCTTATTGGTTATTCTTATCCCACATACTCTGTAATTAAATTGAAGCTGGATGTTCTTTTAAGTGACACATCTTTATTTGCTTCATGTGTTAACTTTACAACCAGTCACTCATGAAACTGCTTGTGCATCTAGCAATTGCAGTATAACAGGAACTTAAATTAACAACATCTTGTATAACAAGATGAAAAATATATAGCCTCCTACAACATCCTCTGGTTTTGATGGAATTTTGGACTTAAGAGATACATTGAATGGTGAGCTTAGTGCTGTCTTGAGGGTCCCTGAGTTGCAGCTTTGAGCTCAGGGAACTTGTGGCTTTGCAGTGTTGCTTGTTTACTTTATAACAACTTTATTCAGTTACTTGCCTGAATTAGCATTTAATTAAAACTTTAGAGAGGTGAGGCTTCTGTCTAAAATAGCTTCTTTATAACCTGAAAAAGGTCTCTTGGGTAGGATTGGCTGTTCAGTGACACTGGCTTCCAAAATAATGACTGCTGTGTAATGTCACAAGGCATTTGCCAGCATGAAAAAATGTCATTAATAGGTATGGAAAAAGAAAAAATATGTAGACAGCAGGGATTAGGAATTACATTAAGAAAGCTATTGCAGAAAAGATTTCTCTTTGTGCTTAATGCTCCACTGACTTCAGTAGGGTTCCTTACCATGCTTACATTTAAGTACGGGATAAAACTTCTAAGCATCAGTGCTTGGGAGTACCTAGATGAGAGGTGAATGAGGATACAGATTATGGACTTCCATGTATTTTTAAGTTTTGATAGTACTCTGCTGGGGATACTGTAATTCAAATTGGTATCAGAGAGTGCAGCAGTTAAGTTCCAAATCTTTTCAGTGCAGTCTAGGAACTGGTGATGGCAGTGAGTGCAATCACAGGGGATGGACCTGATGAGATCCTCAAAGCCACGGCTCCTACCCCAGCCCCAGTGACAATGTTGTACAAGTAAGAATGCATGCAAACAGGACTTACACTGCATTTTATGGGGCTGTTGTACTGGTAGAAGGCAAAGGAGGGACTAAGACAGTTTGTAGTTTTTACTTTAAACAAATCAGAGTGCCTAAAAGTCAAGCAGAGACTAAAGAAACACTGTATGGGAAAAAGTCCTCTTGGACCAGCACCACGGCTCTGATGTTTGAGCAGAGGGAACAGCCTGCATGGACAGCAGTTGTGGGAACAGGCTCTGAGTCCTCCAGGGTGGCCAACTTCCAGAAAACAGAAAAGACACACTTGGCAGACACGTCCAAGAAAAGCTTCTTTGAAATTTTGGGGTTGATGTACTTTTAACGCCTGGCTGTACATAGAAACATTTTCTCACCTCTTCCTCCCTCTACCAGCACTCCAGCACACAAATCTGTTTTAGTCATCAGTAGGAATTTTAATTGCTTGGGGTTCCTGATCCTCTGTTTATAGACATGCTATATTTGCCTAGTATGTTTGATACACAACTGCTTGTACTTGTTGCCACTGTCTTGTGGGAAATTTCCAAAACAATCAAGTACTTAACAATTTCAAATACCAGGTTCTTCCCTGTCTTTCCAGTTGACTCAGCTGGTGTGTTTTTATTTTTAACTCAACAAGCAAAAGGTCTAATTTTCAGAATTACTGATCATTATCTAATAGTGAGTATCTTGCTCACTATTAGAGTCACTATTCTGAGTCATTAGAATATAGGTAAATCAGAGAGTACTTTTGAAAGTCCTGAGTGATGGATGGACAAATAAAGTAAATATGTAGTATGGATATAAATATATATATATATAATATATATAATAAAGTTTGGAAAAAAAGAAATGTTTAAAAGGTATTGAAGTTAAGGAAAACATTAAAAAAGAAGCTTGGATTTTTATATCAGTCCTAGCCCCTTAGTTCTGTTGACCCAGGAGATATAAAGAGGTAGCACAAATATCCTATAGAAGTTCAATTAGTTCAGCAACAGCTCTGAAGAACTCATATCTAGGGAAAATACATGAGAGAAGTATTAGAAGGACAATGCCAACTGCATAGTTTCTACTGTGAAGAAAATTGAGTCCTTCTCTGTAACAGCTGGAAGAAACAAATGGAACAAATCCACAGCCTGGGAGAGGTGATGGAATGCAAGCTCAGCAAGTGTGCAGATGGCACCAAATTGTGAGCAGCAGTTGTTATGTTCAAGAACAAGGCTGCCATTCAGATAGATCTAAACAGCGGAACAGACACTGGTAGTAGTCTAAGTGAGTTTATTTGGCCCATTATTCATCAGAAAGGCTGGAGAAGGTAAAATTTTGGAAACAGAAGTAGACATTAAAAGGTTTTATGACTATGCTGGAGCAGACGGTCAATTATAAGTATTAAAAGCTGAGAAGGCACAAGGTCAAGATGAATTATATATTTCTATATCCTAGCAAGGGTGAGAAGTATTTGAGCAGCAAATGCTTTGCAACAGTAGAGGTTCAAAAAATGAATGTAGGTCTAAAGAATTGAAAATTAACTAACATGACCTTGTATATAACGAGGCTTTATTCTGCCCAAATTCAGTTTGTGAATGAAGATGTCAGGAAGGGAAGAATTTATTAATAGAAGAGTCCAAATGAAAGCAGAACATATTCCTCTGTGTGATATTCTGTATAT